GATTTTTCTTTGTATTCTTGCAGGCAAGACGGAATGACACTGTCAAACTTCACATACAGGAAAACTCAGGACTTCCCTCTAAATACTGCTTTGTTTTCTTTTCATTACCAGGTTGTCCATTTTCTGACTTCAAGCCAAGAGAGTCCTCATGTTATTGTACGATGACTTATTGACTGTTGATTGCAAATTCTTATCTGTTCATATTGGTTTCCACACCTACAGCCCTCTGTCTTCTTTAATATATATCTATACTCCCTTTAAGATAATCGCAAACAACATTACAAACACCTCTTTGCAGATAATATAATAAATAATATTAAAATATAATTTATCCCAAAAGTGTATCAACAAAGAAATTGCTGATAAAACCATGCAGGAGAGGTGTTACACATAGAAGCAGTGAATTAGAAGAGAGGAAAATCTCATTCTACAACTCTCATTTTTTGTAACCAATGCATTTCTTACCACTGGTGATTTAACTGAACATAAAAAGCACTAGTGGCTCATTTTTCTGGACAGTAGGCAGAAAAGAGGGGAATAAGAGACGTGTGGGAAAGGACCATAGGCTGGATTTAAACCTGGGTTTGCCAGTGTCGAGTGGTAATGCCTCCATACCATGCCTCCATGTGTCGGGTGCACTAACCACTGCGCCACCTAAGCTCGCAGCAAACCTAATACATTTTAGATTAAAGAAAAAATAGCATGTTGTGCTTGAATCAGCCTCTGCTCTGGAAAAGGACCAATTAGAACTCTTCAGCATTCATCTTAACATAAAGTTTGGGTGGTTCAGTAATTTCTGTAACAGAATAAGGTTTTAGTTTAGTGTTGTTTGGTATAAACAAAATGCTGGCTAGGTTGTTTGTTTATGGACTGTTAGGACAATTAGTACTATTTTACATCTCCAGACTACAGTAGAGAGTTGATTTGGTACAGGAGTGTTTTAAGGACCCCTTTAGAAAAATAAAAGAAATTTTCCCATCCAGACCAATTCAAAAGCCTAATTTGGTAGAACTTGATTAAAGAGACTGGCTGTAGCTATGGCGATAGACCTCAAGTAAACAGACAGAGTTATTAGACTGCAATTATACCTGAGAACAGATACTGAAGGATGGTTTTCCCAGCAAATGTGAGATGAGTAAAGAAAACCAACAGTCTTGTCAAGTTGTGACTTGATAGCACAGGCACTGTAAGATGTTTAAAAAAACACAGATCACTATTTAATATCTCTACAGTTAACCCCAGAAAGCATCTAGATAGTGGAATTTAATCATCTTTTGAAAGTAGTCATTAGTTCAATGTTAGCTTTATTCACAAAGTTTGTGCACACAAACAAGGAATTTGTCAGAAGGCTCAGAACGAAGGACCCAGAATTCAGGCTTGACAGACAGTGATATATTAAAAGGCATTTATTGAAATAAGCATGGGGCTGCTTGTCTGCTGCGGCAGGCTCACTGGAAACTCTGCAGCAGTAGAGGCTCAGGTCAGTGACTTCAAAACTCAAACGCGGAACAACAACAAGCATGAAAGCCACCAACCTGGCAAAGTTCAGTCTCTGTTGCTTATTACTGAGCCGGCACCAGAGATCCAGGACAGAAGAGGAGCAGCATCTTGCAGCAGCCAGAACATGTAGAGGAACCAAAGGATCCAGGAGGGTAAATCTAAGCCGTGGTCAGAAGACAGGTCTGAGGTCGACAGCAGGCGGAATCCAGGTAACAGCACAGGAACACAGGACAGGCAAACAGATCAGTGGGAGTGTTGGCCTAGTGCAGGGGTCGGCAACCCAAACTGCTCAAAGAGCCACATTGGACCAAAAAAGCAGATCTGTCTGGACCCGTAAAATGTAAAAGTCTTATATAAGCCTTATATGGCAACCCGTGCCCTAAGTGTATTACCAATCTACGATTCATGGAAATGTTCAAGGTTGAATAAGGTAAAGGAATGCATGAGCCTGTCAAAGCCCCTGGAGATTACTATGAAAGTGTGAACATTAATGCATGTAAAAACACGTCTGAGCATCTGATTTCTTGTTTCAGTGGCTAAACCTGGATGATGTCAAAGTTGTTTTGAAGCTGAAAGGATACATGGAAATATGCTGTGCAATCAAAGTTTGGGAAAAAGGAAAGATTTGAGTTCCAAAATCCAAGCAAATCCTGCATCAGGAAAGTTGTGTAGATTTGCAAGTTTTGGATCAATAAACGGCTTTGAAATGGAAATACAGGAACAGCTTAGGTTCAAATACGCAGTGCATCACAACTTGTTTTCCAAAGAAATATGAACCATTTTGTTCTTTTGGTGGACAATCCAAAAAGGACCTTAATTATCATAGGTACTCCTCTTACACAATTCCCAGACGCACTTGGATGCCTCTCCCAGGTTCTCGGGTTGAAGATGTTGTAGAAGATATCGATGCAACAGAGTCGTTTGAAGAAATGTGCCAGCGTTTCATTCTGCTGCCTGCAAACGTGAGGCAGCCTTGATTTCTTATTTAAAGAAATCATCTTCTCCTTCTGAGGAAAACACATATTGTTCAGATTGACCCAAGTCTCATTATGTAATACTTATTTCAACCTTACAACAGAAAGTACTTCTTGATATCGGTCCATCTAATCTATTTATACTTTTGAAATGATCCAAAATGTATAAGAAACTACTTTGATTTATAAACTGAAGTTATTTCCATATTCACTGATGTACAGAATAAATTCCTTATCTTCAGGCAAGGAGTTAGGTATGATTTTATAACAGATTGAAGATTGTTTTTGACACATTACAAACCGTGTTCCTCTTTTTTGTTTTGCTTTACTGTACCTGAAGCTTAAGTAAGAAAAAAGGCTGTGGCACAGGCGAGTCCAGGCGCAGCCTCTTCTACTGCACGTCAGAGGATTGTTTTCATCATCTCTGCTCTTCTCCAGCACCTTGAGGCTTGTTCTTTTTCTTTTTTGGGGGGGAGTGGGTGGGTCACTTCTAGAACATGCTGTACACAGAGCACTCCACATGACACAGCCCTTCAATCTAATAAGAGTAATAGGAAGAAATCAGGAATGAACACTGTAACAAATTCTAGTTCAGATCTGCCATCAAAAACACTGAAATAACTGACTTTATTTTATTTGTGAGGAAAATCTAACACAACAAATCACTCTGAACCTACCATTCTCATGGTAAAATGGAAACAATATGCTGGGGGGGTGCTGCAAAGCAGTCTCAGTTAAGCCTGTCAGACTTTAGGGGCAGATGGTTGGAAATATTGCACGTTCCTTTCAGAAGACCTGTTAAATAAAGGAACAGATTCAAGACTGAGGGCAAAGGCCCAGCTTTCAGCAAAATTGATTATTATTTTGTATTGACCATTTTAAAGTAAACAATATGAGTGAAAGGTGGTTCTCCAAAGTTGTGTCACATGACATTGACTATATATGTATGACTAATCTCTTAGATAAAGCAGTTTAAAAAAAAAAATTATTATCTTTTTTTCTCTATTCTCCTTGGTTGTTTTTGTTACAGTTAATGATGGCTTTTACAGTCCTGTATGAGGGCAGTTTCCACCTTTTTCTTCTTTCAAAGTGCAGTTGAAGCCAGCAAATGTGAATACTGTGTGACCAGGACAGACTTTGGAGCAGTGTCATAATACGGTAAACATGTACTAGTAAGGAGATTTTATCATTGTCTTGATCTTGGAGATATTGCATTTCTCCCATTTAAACTTTCTGAAATCATAACTCATCTTAAGCAATTATGGGAGAGAACACAGAATATATTACAAATATCCTTTCATAGTAAACATGCCAAAATGATTGGTCAGTTTTTACCTATTTTAGACACTGAATATCTAACTATAGTTTCAGCATATTTATACATTTCTGTTTTGATAAACAAATAGCCATTTATTGAGAAGAACTACTTTACATTCCTCTGCACAGCTTAATGACATGCAGCTGAGAGAAATCAGTCACAAAAACTTGGTTACAGTTGTTGTACAAGTCAATTTTAATAAAGGAATGATGCACAAAAAATTTTTAATTGCTGAAAATTATGATATTGGCAAAAGCTGAAAAATGTTCAAGTCGGTTGCAAGAAGCAAAATATACGAGTCGTTTAAATTGTTATCTAATCAATTCCATCCCACTTTCAGTGACCTCTGCTGTCTCTAGACTTTTGAGATTCCTGATTTTTTTTTCTATCTATTTTTTTCTTCTTTAGGACTCTGGAGAACTTGATTTCAACTAAGGAGGTTATCAAGCCATCCATTTAAGTGTTTTGGACCACTGGGAGATATCTAAAAGATGCCGTCAACTAGCCACAGAGGTTTTACTTTCTGCAGTAAGGCACGTTTAGAGATTAAAAGCTCCATGTCTAAATTCTAAATTCCAATATATACAGCTCTACTGACCCAAACATCATCTCCAACTTGCCTACAGCTGCAGAAGAGTTTTTCAAAGAGGTTTGGGAACTGAGAAAACTGGAACATTTTAGGACTGTTGGCTTCACTCTTCTTCCTCCAGACAAGGAGAAGGGAGACTGAAGGAGGGCTGCATGTTGGGGGCTAGAAATGCTCTGTGGCAGTGGTACATGGTCAAGCAAAAGACATTGAGGGGGGATTAAGTCCTTGATGTGGCCATAAAGGATCTGAGTCCAAGTCTGATGACCTCTGCTGCATTTTTCTTCTGTCTTTCAGCGAACTTCCAAAAGGACCACAAGTGCAAAAAAAAAAAAAAAAAGGCCTTTGGGTAGCCTTACTTTTCCTGCATGCGAAACATTCGAACAGCACAGCAATCATGGACACATCTTGAAGAACAGTTTGAAAAGATGTCCTGTGATACACCAGAGGGGCCATAATAACTGTCTCACATGAAGTTGGCTAAAAACATGTTTTATGATCTTAGAAAGGCAGGTTCAGCACTCAGCACTTCATTTTAAAGGTGTGGTGGTATGTTTGACTGTGTCAAGAGAGGCCAGGGGGAGGTTCTGCTTGTGAACAGTATTTAACCCTCCTCCAACACTTTTTGTATTGCACTCTGCACCTTCTGCACCAAATGTTAACATTTCTACTTTTTGGGGAAGTTTTACATCTTCATGGAGGGTCATACCAGCAGTGGACTGTGGCTGCTCACCCTGTTACTAGGATGCGGGCAACTCATCGCATTTAATTTGGACACGGAGAATGTCTTAAGGAGAGATGGAGAAAAAGGCAGCCTGTTTGGCTTCTCTGTTGCAATGCACTGGCAGACTCAACCACAGAACAAGAAAATGTAAGAACCAGAGCATGATTTCAACGAAATGTTTATCTATCTAATAATTACTTCCTTCATTGTTTAACTATAAAATCTTTGCTCACTGTGCATCAGTCCTATTTTGCTTGGTACCCTTTCTTCTCAGGTTACTAATTGTTGGACTTATTAAGCAGTTTTTTTTTTATTCTGATGTGTTGTTGATCACTTGTTTTTCTCTTAAGTTGTCTTCAGGTGAGATCAGAAGAAAAAAAATCTGTTTCTAATTCAGCAAACAGTATGGTTTAAAGGATTAATTCAACAAATCATTTATTTTTGGTACTGAAGTATCTCCAAAAGTTGTCCACAGCCCTAAAAAACAGGTTTCTCTGAGCATTTGTGTTCCAAAAAAAAGAGACAAGAGACAGAATTAATACTCTAATAGTTTTGTTTTTATTTTTTTGTTTTTTGTTTGGGTTAAAGGAAAGGTTTTTCATATGGAGAAGTGTGCATTAGGGTTAAGAGCTTCTGTTTTCATATTTTTAAAGCAATATTTCATCATGATAAAATATGAAGTTGATAAATTTTTCAAATCTTGTTAACAAAAGTTTTTATAGAACAATATAGGACGTGTAACTTGCCTCTGCAAAGTTATGTTTTAAGTGGAAAAAGTAAAAGTGGGAATTTTACTCCCTTGTTTTCTTCGAAGATGGTTTTACTTAATACCAAGTGCTATTTAAAATTGACTTAGACAAGCGATAAGGCATAACTTTTATGTAGCACTTGTTAAAGAATCATTAGGTCTGCTGCTTCATAAACTCTGAGCCTGAGGCAAAAAAAAAAAAGACAGGTAATTAATTTTTCCTCAGAACTTTCAAAGTATTCTGCACGGACATGTATGCTGAAATGTTTGGATGATACAACTAGGGCGTACACAGTGAGTTCTTTTCTAGCTACTCATGCCACCCTTTACTCAGACTTTTATGTTCCAGATATGTTCATGTCCTGAAGGGATGAATTTGCTTGTACAGACAGGAGTGGGTGTGGATCTATGAATACCTACTTGTGCTTTGGCCTTCTTCCCAGTACACTAAAAAAGGGACTTTTGGTCCTGTAAATATTGCCTTGGTTTTTATGTAAAATGTACTGCATATTGCCATGTACTTCCCCTTACTTCAAAATGACACCTTTTATTTATGTGTTACTTAGAATACATATAATTAGGGTTGGGAATTGAAAAGATTTTCCCGATTCCGATTCCCTTTTCGATTCTATGAAACAATTCGATTCTTTATCGATTCTTTTTTCTATTCCAATTTGGGGAAAAAAGGAATACAAGAACAAACTTAATAACCAACAATGTCTAATAACAAATGATGGGATAATAACCTATTTTAAATAACAAAAAATACTAATTATAAAACAGTAGTAGGGAAAATTAACAGTTCTTTTGCAGAAAGATGAGCATATCTGCTTTTTCTGGAAGGATACGGGATCTTTCAGGGCTTAGGGTGTCTCCAGCCATGGAGAACACCCTCTCAGATGGGGTGGAGGAAGCCTGCACACAGAGGTAGTTTTCAGCCAGTCCAGATAGCAAGGGCAGCGTATCTTGCTTGTTCCACCAGCACAGTGTGGCGCTATCCCTGCAGGGGATGGAGGGCAATCTTTTACAGAGCTGGATTTCCTGATCTACCCTCTGGGCTAAGGAAAGACGGGGCTTTGATTCACAAAGTGACCGCAGCTCGTTGTCTTCCTCCTCGAATAGTTCTTCCAACTTGCGTAACTTGCGTAACTTACGTAAGAAACGTGACGTAAGTCGTGCTCCCCAGAGCCGGCGCTCTAGGCTCTGGTGCTGCGGGAATCGAAAAAAGAATCGTTCAGCGAGCTGCCAAACGATGCCATGGAATCGGAAAATACGGAACCGGTTCTTAACAGGAACCGGTTTTCGATTCCCATCCCTACATATAATATAACAGCACTAGTGGCTCTTTTTTGGATAGTAGGCTGACAGGAAAGGGGGTATGAGAGAACGAGAGAGACTTGTGGCAAAGGACCAAAGGATTCAAACCCGGGTCGGCTGCATCGAGGACTAAGGCCACCATACATCGGTCGTGTGTGCTACCCACTTAATAAAAAAATAAGGATTATCAAAACTATTCAAATGATTTCCCAACTTAACAGATGCAAGCAGTGTGTACTTGGATATTAAGAGTAAGCTTTTTCCTTGCTTGACCATGCTTAGGTCAGAAATGGGCTGCACGGTTGTGCAGTTTGGAACGCTGTTGGCTTGCAACAAGAAGGTTCTGGGTTTGATCCCTGGACCAGGTGCTTTCTGCATGGAATTTGTATGTTTTCCCCTTGCATGCGTGGGTTCTCTCAGGGTTCAGGGTTTAAGCTTTATTGATCTCACATTGGAGAAATGTACCTCTTTAACTCATCCCCTCGGGGAGCAGTGGGCTAATGTTGTGTGGCGACCAGGGAGCAATCAGTGTTTAAGGGTTTTGCTGAGGAACCCAAAGTGGAGGATGTGGGGATTGAACTGGATACTTGCAAACTTCTCAGAGGACAAGCGCACTACTCTAACCACTAAGCCACTAGGGCTAAGCTTCTCTAGATTCTCCTTGGGTATGCATTGTTGATTGCCTGTTTGTTTCTTTATGTAGAATTTACTAGCAAACCTATTTTGGGATCTCAGCTTTTTTTAACTTTACACATAATGCCCTATCACTACAAAAAGTTCTCAGGAGATTGTTGTAAATTTATGGCTAATTAAAACCTTACAAATTACGTCTACATGTGGTAAATACTCATAACGTTTATTTAATACTTGCCACCTACAGAAACAGTTCCATATTACTTTTACTTTTCTTAAGAGAATTTGGTCTGAGCAAAGGCAAAATATTAATTTGAAAGAGTTTTATCTTCTTGTACAGTGCATGTAAAACATTTGGTTAATCACTATAGACTCTTGAGAGGTGTACCCCGCCTCTTGCCCGTTGACATCTGGAGCTAGGCACCAGCAACCCTAACGACCACAGCAGGGATAAGCATGCATAGATGGATAACAAATTTTTTTCTCCCCAGTGTTTTATTATCATTACACTGTCACAAGTACAGAGCAACGAAATTAACTCTCTGCATTTAACCCATCCCCTTGAGGAGCAGTGGGCTGCTATTTTGCGGCACCAGAGTGGGAGCAGTCCCGACCCATAGTGCAAGCAGTCGATGGGAGTGGGGCAGGAACTCAGAACTCCAAGAGCAATGCCCTAACCACTAGGCCACCTCTCCCCAAAGCAGGGTCTTGCCTATGGACCCACACTGGCAGCTCATTCCCCCAAGCTGGGATACAAACCCAGGACAGTTGACTTACCACTTGAGCTAGCCAGCTGCTAGAAAAGTTCAATTATATATATTATTAAAGTTTAATTATAAAATACCTCATGATATTCCTTATCTTTATCTCAAAGAAATACTTTGATTCACATGTGTGTCTGTGGCAGGGTACTGGTTGGAGCACCACAAGCGAAAGCCATAGGCAAACAAAAATCTAAAGTGACAGGAGGAATATATAAGTGTGAACTGGATTCCGATAAATGCAACAGAATTATTTTTGATGATAATGGTAAGACACGTTTTCCTTTTTTAATCCAATTAATTTTTTTTTGTCTTTTTAAATCAAAGACTGAGTTTTAACATGTTGATCTTCTACATTTGTTTGTTCTTTCATAGAGGATTTGAAAACAGAAAGCAAAGAAAATCAGTGGATGGGGGTTACAGTCAGCAGTCAGGGTCCAGGAGGCAAAGTTTTAGTAAGGATGCCAGTTCACAAAAATCTCATATTCATTTTTTCCCCCCATTGTTCAAGGTATAAATCAGAATTTATTGGTAATTAACTGTGTATCTCTCTTTACATGGTAGACATGTGCCCACCGATACCAGCAGCGGGTCCCAAATTCTGAATCGCGCACCATCGATGGCCGCTGCTATGTGCTAAGTCAAGACCTAACGTTGACATCTGACGAAGAAGATGGTGGTAACTGGCGGTTTTGTAGTGGCCGGGACTACCTGAAATTTGGCTCCTGCCAGCAGGGACTCTCTGCTAGATTCGACAAGGACTACCATTATTTTATCTTTGGCGCTCCAGGAGCTTATGATTGGAAAGGTATTGCTGAGTTCAGGTGCATTATTGCCGGGACTAACAAACTGGCACAGACTTAGGGCTTTAAAAGAACATTTAGCAATTTTCTTTGTTTATTGTTTTAGTTAATCACAGAGAGATCTGCTTATTTTTTTGCTTTATCTATGTCAAATGTTTCACAATACCTTTCAATGGATAGTGTAATTAGGAGATAGGAGAATACAAATAACATATTTATCTTAAGTCTCCTCTGCTCTACTCTTTACTTTAAGGCTTGGTGCGCTTAGAGCAAAAGAACATAACTTTTTTCACATTACCTATACCGATATTTAATGATGGGCCTTTTGAAACTGGAGATGAGAGGAAACTTGACGATAAACAAGTTCCTACACCTGACAACAGCTACCTAGGTAAAGTACACTTTACCATGATTCCAATGATACATATTTTAGAAGTTGATTAACCCTCCATGTTTTTAATCATAACTATTATGAACTTTGTAATAGGTTTTTCCCTGGATACGGGAAAACTTTTGACCGCTAGTGGTGAACTGACGGTGGTAGCAGGAGCTCCTAGAGCCTTTTACAGTGGGGCAGTGGTGCTTTTGAAGAAGGGTGGTCCTGATACAAGAAGCATGGAACCGGAGCACATTCTTAAAGGGGAGGGTTTGGCATCTTCTTTTGGATATGATCTGACTGTGCTGGATTTTAATGGAGACGGGTAGGAACGGAGAGCGACACACAGACTGTTTACTTCTAATCTCATCTTTAGTTTGACTGTACTCTCATTATCCTATAACTTTCTTGCTTGTTAGTTGGGAGGACATAGTGGTAGGAGCCCCTCAGTTCTTTAAAAAGGAGTCAGACATTGGAGGAGCTGTCTACATATACATCAACAAGGCTGGTAACTGGAAGGAAGCCAAGCCAACCAGAATCGATGGAACTGCAGACTCTATGTTTGGCCTTGCTGTGGAATTCCTGGGAGATCTCAATCAGGATGGATACCACGGTAAGGATGCATAATTTGAACTTTTTTTTTGTTTTTTCACACTTCAAGCCCTTTATATTTAAAAAATTTTGAGGAATTGTGTTATGCTTGAAAGATTTTGCTGTAGGAGCTCCTTATGAAGACGATGGTGCAGGCAAAGTTTACATTTACCATGGATCAGCAAGAACAAAACCCACTAACAAACACACACAGGTATTTAAATCAGTTCTTTTTTTGAAAATTTTAGCACTTCTGATATTCTTTCAGAGTTTTGTTTTGTATAATCACAAAAAGAGCCCAAACATATTTGGTAAATGAGTATCTTTACTGGAGTACCTTAACGAATTATAAAACAGTGACTATTTTTGTTAGGTGCATATGTATAACCAAAATGTTACTTCAAGACATTTGTTCTGTAGTTCTCTGATTCCAAAACTTGTGTTCAAGGGCCAATACTAAGTTGTGGATTAACAAAAGCAGGCATTGAGATACTCTACAGAAGTAAAACTAAACTATTGCAATGATAGTAGTGAGGAGATATGTTATAGGGTTAAAAGAGATGATAACATCACTTAAATATAAACAAAATTAATACATTCACAGTTTTGGTATTATACTCATTGTGATAATTTAGTTTGTAGAAATGTTAGTATATTCAACCAATAGTTTAAGGCATACAATCATAAGCTCAGAACATAGGACCCGGAATTCAGGTGAGACACAGGGATTACTTAAAAGGCATTTATTGAAACAATGGGGGTCTGTGAGGGCAGCAGGGTACCGCCCATCACTGGAAACTCTGGTAGGAGAAAAACACAGGTGAGTGACCAGGATAATCTAAAGGATTATCTTTGAGAGTCACTTATCTGGTTTGACAGTTCAGCCCACCTCAATAGAACGTTGTAGGATCAAACTGGAGGGCTGAAATTAGATAGGCGCCGCCCAGAATGAACCAGATGCTGCAGTCCGGGTGGGCAAGAATGAGTCCGAGCCTGGTTAGGGAAACAGATCAGAACAGAAAGACTAAGAGGTCCAGGAGTCGGAAGTCCAGTCAGGGAAACTGATGAAAACAAGAACAGGCTGGTCCAGGGTTCCATGAGTCCGCAGATAGTTCCAGCGAAAGGTTCAGATGGGAACAGACAAGATCATTAATGGAGAGGCAGAACAAGGCAGGATATTAGGAACACTACGGTATGCTAAAAACTTGTTCTCTCCACTGAGCCAAGCCAGGAACAGGGCACGCTCAGTAGATAAGAGACAGGACATGATCAGGAAATCAGGAACACTACGAAACATTAAAACCCTCTCTGACCACTGACCCCGAGAACCTGAACATGATCTGCATTAGCTATTATCTCAACATCACTTCAATAATCTCCAACTCAAACCAATGATCTGGCCCTGATAACTGGGTGTAGCTCTCTGAAATCAACTAATGAACCATAAACACATGAACAGCAACACTTACAATGGGACTGAGCTGTATATTAAGAAGCAGAAGCAGGTGGATTGGATGAATGGTAATAGGAAACCAGGCAGAGTTAAGCAGGTAAACAAAATTAGCAATTAGGTCTCAGAGCCATGATCATTACAAATACATTATAGCAGAATTTTTGTGACAGAGGGAACAAAGATTGGGAATGTTTGCTTTAGCTGATATAAGTCTGCCATGCTGTATTTTATCAATATTACACATTTTCAAAATATATTTAAAAACTTCTTGTTAAATTGAATTTTCTTTGATTCTGACCGAAAGCTGAAGACAGCTTTCTAAATAAACCATTCACTATATGGAAAACACATCCCAAAATCCAAGTATCATAACTTTCTTCTTTTAGGTCTTATCTGGCAAGTCATTTGGAGCGAGGCAGTTTGGGTACTCTTTGGCAGGAAACATGGACCTGGACTGGAACTTTTATCCTGACATGGTTGTTGGATCTCTCTCAGATTCAATCTTTACATTCAAGTGAGGAAGTTAGAGAAAATGAATTAATCCAATCTTGTGCTGTTTAATATATTTGCAAAGATGCTCAACTAACTGTCTCTACACAGGACCCGACCAGTTGTTAGCATTCAGAAGGAGGTAACTTTCTCACCAAGTAAAATCAATCTCAGCGAGAAGAACTGTGGCAACGCCTTTTGGTATGTTTGTGTATCTTGATTTCTAGAAAACAAAACAAAAAATAATAGTCTTTTTCTGACCAGCCTACACATTTTTATAAAACACATTTCTAATGATTTCTAATGTAGCATCAGACATGAACATTATAGTTGCAATGCCACTAAAATTACAGCAGTTTCAAGTTCATAGTAGAAATGAGTCTTGGTGGCTGAATAATGCCTAATTATTTCACAAAAATATTTCCTATTATATCAAGGGGGAGACATTGGGTCAGGATAGTTGTCCAAAAGAAGATGATTGGAACTGATTGGAACTGGTTGATATTACTTTTAGTGCAGCCCTGAAGACATGACCTAAATTGTGCGTGGAATATGCATAAAAGCTGGTTAGATATAAAAGATACCAGAAAGGAATACATTTATATAAGCTCTATTGAATCTGATCAGCTCAGTCTTTGTGTTATCAGATTATAAATGTTTTCTCTAGGAGGCATTTGGTATGTTCATGGGGACAGCTGCTAGTTTCAATCATCTTAAAGGTCCTAGATTTTTCAGTAGTGCTTCTCACTTTGTCATGTATTCCCCACCACAAGTGTTCAGTGTGCTTCACTGAGGCTAGTTTTAGTTGTGTCAAGCATCTTTGGCTTTTTTACTGATTTAAAAAGAGCTGCATTATGATAGGGTGACCAAACGTCCGTATTTCCCGGGACATATCCGTATTTCACGTCCTGTCCCGGGCGTCCCGGGTTTTTTTTTAAGAAAGTAAGGAAATGTCCTGATTTCACTGCGCACAACGCTCCGTGTGACGTAATCGCTGAGCCGCGTCAGTGCAGGCAGCCCTGTTCTTAATCAGAGGCTCTGTTCGAAAACCTAGGACGCATCATCCAAGGACGCGGTCTACCTAGACTGGATCCTTCGAAGTCCTTGAAAATAAGGAGGCCTGAAGAGTTTTGGCTGTAAAATCGAACAGGTCCACCCTTCGGCGGGTTTTACCGCCGTATGCTCTGTTGCTTAGCAACCGTGAAAGTTGACACACAAAGCAGGAAAAGAATGAATACCGAGGTTTTCAAAACTGTTTGTTTATTTATTTATTTTTTTTAAAGTTAAAGTGAACAAAGACTACACTCACAAGAATCCAGAGTGGAATAAAGGTTCCAACCACCGGGAGCAGGAACAAATCAAATCAAATGTAATGATAGAAACCTTAGTCAGTTAAATAACCTGATGCTGTCATTCTGCACATCTCTGATGTTGCTGCTATTTTCAAATATCCATTACTGTAAAAATGTCCATAGCTGCATATTGGTTATTAATTCTCCAGTTTTATATTGTTAAAACTCTTTACAGAATTTTATTTTTTTATATTTTAACTCTTCCCTATTATGTTATTCTTATACATTTTTCTAAGGTCCTCATTTGTGTGACCATTTTCAATAATCTTTCTGCTGCTGTAAATTTGCCCATTGTGGGACAATAAAGGGATTTTCTATTCTATTCTATAAAAGAGGTAGAAATATATAAGTAAATCTAAACAATGTATCTACAAAATGTATCTGCAAAATCTCTAATATTCAACAACAAAAAATACTTAGTTAAGCATATTGTGCAAAACAACAATAAAAAAATTAAACTCCTATCAGATTTATAGTCCCCACTCTGCAGATTTATTAGAATCTGTCATTAAATTCCAGCCAAACCCATTTACACAGTAACAGATAAAAACCATTAGATAAACCAAACACTACCGCCACATTTCTGACTCTATAACCATTAAAACAACTAACAAGTAACATTTCCTCTCATCACGGAGCAAATCCCGATGATGAGACATTTGTTCTTTCAATCAACCCCCCCCCCCCCCCCCCCCCCCCCACCCTCCAGGTATGCTTGATCCTTATTGATGTGGTAGTAGCCCCACAATGTCTAATACCACTTTCCATCATTATTTGAAAAATCTTATTGATTGGAAATCATTCAAACAAAATTATGTTAGCATAACTTTCTAAAACCTAAACGAATTAAATGTTACAAAGTGTACTGAAATATTGCTTGTGTTGTCTAATTGTCATAAAACTGCTCTGTCTCTACAGCTTGGAAGTGAAAGCGTGCTTCACCTACGCTGCTCACCCAACGGCAAATAGTCCCTCACTGAGTAAGCATCATCTAATTTTTTTTAAGTAATTTTGCTAAAAAAAAAATGTCTTACAAAATAAAAAATGCTAAATAATTCAAAAAACAACATGTCATACAGAGGAATTCAAGAATGTGATGAGAATCAAAGTCATTCGCACGTGTGTGTATTAAATTGATTGAAAAGCTATGTCTAGGGCCGACATGTCCAAAGTCGGTCCCTGAAGGACGCTGTCCTACAAGTTTTTGATGGCTTGACTTTAGCAGAGCTGATTCTGATTATTATAATACTTTCAGCAACAGCCTGTTTATTAATTATCAATGATTGTAAACAGCCCAATATGCTTCAGGGACAGCCAACAGACATAGCCCCTCCAGTGTGTCCTGGGCCATCTCCTAGGCCTCCTCCCAGTGCGATGTGCCTAAAACATATAGCGAGAGAGGGTCCAGGGTACATCTGGAATAGGTGTCCGAGCCACCTCATCTGACTTCTCTCGATGTTGAGTAGAAGCGTTTGGTAATCTCTAGGTAGATGACCGAAATCCTGACCCTAAGTCTGGGCGATTGCCACCCTGTGGAGAAAGCTAATTTCAAACACCCAAGATCTCATTCTTTTGCTCATGATCCTGATTTCATCACCATGAGTGAGGGTATGAACGTAGACCAACCAGTAAATCGAGAGCTTTGGCATTTGGCTCAGCTCCCTCTTAACCACAACAGACCGATGCTGCTTCCGCATTGTAGTTGCGGCCACACCAATCTGTCTATCAATTTCTTGCTTCATCCTCCTCTAAGTCGAACACAGGACTGCAAAATACTTGAACACCTGCACTGGACGCAGGAACTCTCCACCAAAAACTGAATGGGACACATCACATTTTCTAGTCAGAATCATGGCCTCAAACTTGGAGTGACAGACCTTCATCCCTCCCACTTTGCACTCAGCTGTGAACTGCCTCTACTGTAGGTCTTGCTAGGAGGGAGCCAGCAGAACCATATAATTCACAAAAAGCATGGACGAAATCCACTGGCCCCAAAACCAGACCACCTCTGACCCTTGCCTGCACCTACAAATTATGTCAATAAAATATGTGAACGGGACCCGTGACAGAAGGCAGCCCTGGCACAGTGCAACGTGCATCAGGAAAAGGTCCAAATTCATACCAACAATGCTGGGTGATGAAAGAGTCCGTCTCACACCACGTCAGCCAGGGGTAAGGAAGGCTTCAAAGTATTTCTTCTGTTGTCTGAAAAAGTCTTTAGTCAAGGTCAGCAGCTCTCCCCTCCGGCTGAAAATAGTGTTAGCAAAGCACTTCTTCCGGAGGCACCAGACTTTTTTCAGAACCACTTTGATGCTGAACAACAGCCTTTTTTATTGTCTCTCCAAACTACTCTTAAGTCCAAGTTTTTACCTTTGCAACCACTGAGACTGCAGCATGCTTGGCCACAAGGTACCTGCTTACTGTCTCGGGAGTCCCACTAGACAGCCAGTCTCACTGCCGATGATAACCACTGGATTTTGGGATTGCTGTCCCGACAGACACAGAATATCTTTGGATCACAGCTACAGTTGCTGTATCGACGACTGACGCAGAGCAAATATTCCACTCGGAATCTACAGGTGCTGGTCATAAAATTAGAATATCATGAAAAAGTAGATTGATTTCAGTAATTCCATTTAAAAAGTGAAACTTGTATATTATATTCATACATTACATACAAACTCATATATTTCAGATGTTTATTTTGTTTAATTTTGATGATTACAAATGACAACAAATGAAAATCTCAAATTCATCATATCAGAAAATTAGAATATTGTGAAAAGGTTCAAAATTGATGGCCCCTGGTGCCACACTCTAATCAGCTAATTAACTCAAACCACCTGCAAAAGCCTTTAAATGGTCTTTCAGTCTAGTTCTATAGGCTACACAATCATGGGGAAGACTGCTGACTTGACAGTTGTCCAAAAGACGACCATCGACACCTTGCACAAGGAGGGCAAGACACAAAAGGTCATCGCTAAAGAGGCTGGCTGTTCACAGAGCTCAGTGTCCAAGTACATTAATAGAGAGGCGAAGGGAAGGAAAAGATGTGGTCGAAAAAAGTGTACAAGCAAGAGAGATAACCGCACCCTGGAGAGGATTGTGAAACAAAACCCCTTCAAAAATGTGGGGGAGATTCACAAAGAGTGGACTGCAGCTGGAGTGAGTGCTTCAAGAACCACCACACACAGACGTATGAAAGACATGGGTTTCTGCTGTCGCATTCCTTGTGTCAAGCCACTCTTGAACCACAGACAGCGTCAGAAGCGTCTAAAGAGAAACAGGACTGGACTGCTGGTGAGTGGTCCAAAGTCATGTTCTCTGATGAAAGTAAATTTTGCATTTCCTTTGGAAATCAAGGTCCCAGAGTCTGGAGGAAAAGAAGAGAGGCACTTCATCCACGTTGCTTGAAGTCCAGTGTAAAGTTTCCACAGTCAGTGATGGTTTGGGGTGCCATGTCATCTGCTGGTGTTGGTCCATTGTGTTTTCTGAGGTCCAGGGTCAACGCAGCCACATACCAGGAAGTTTTAGAGCACTTCATGCTTCCTGCAGCTGACCAACTTTTTGGAGATGCAGATTTCATTTCCCAACAGGACTTGGCACCTGCACACAGTGCCAAAGCTACCAGTACCTAGTTGAAGGACCATGGTATCCCTGTTCTTAATTGGCCAGCAAACTCTCCTGACCTTAACCCCATAGAAAATCTATGGGGTATTGTGAAGAAGAAGATGCAATACACCAGACCCAACAATTCAGAAGAGCTAAAAGCCACTATTAGAGCAACCTGGGCTATCATAACACCTGAGCAGTGCCACAGACTGATCGACTCCATGCCACGCCGCATTGCTGCAGTAATACTGGCCAAAGGAGGCCCAACTAAATACTGAGTGCTGTACATGCTCATACTTTTCATGTTCATACTTTTCAGTTGGCCAACATTTCTATAAATCCTTTGTTTTTATTGGTCTTCAGTAATATTCTAATTTTCTGATATGATGAATTTGAGATTTTCATTTGTTGTCATTTGTAATCATCAAAATTAAACAAAATAAACATCTGAAATATATGAGTTTGTATGTAATGTATGAATATAATATACAAGTTTCACTTTTTAAATGGAATTACTGAAATCAATCTACTTTTTCATGATATTCTAATTTTATGACCAGCACCTGTATGTCCCCAGGCTCACCCTAAACCTAGGAGAAGTTCTTCCTTTGGTGAGAGTTAAACATGTCCCTGACTGCGGGCTCTATGCATGTTTCCTACCAGACCCTCACTTTTTGTTGGGCATGCAGAGTCTGACCGACATCCTCCTCTTCCAGCTCATCCAACTCACCCCCAAGTGGGGATTGGTGAACAACTCTGCCCCTCTCTTGACCTGAGTGTCCAAGACATGGAGTCAAAGGTCAGAAGATACAACTTCAAATTGATCATTAACCTTTATCTTTGGTGCCAAGCACACTGATGGACATCTTTATGCTTGAACATGCTGAATATGGACAATTGATGACTTGCACAGAAGTCAAATAATGAGACACCACTTGGGTTCAGAACTGGGGTTCTTTTCTGCCAAATAATGCCCCTTAAGGAGTCACTGTTGTTTCCCCCATGGACGTTGAAGTCCCCCAGCAGAATGATGGAATCCCTAGGTGGGAAATTATCCAGCATCCCCACCAGGGATGCGAAGTAGGTCTGGTACTCAGCAGTAAGAGACCTCCCCCTACCCAAAAACACAAGGACATAACCCTCTCATCTGCCTGGGTGGACGGGTGGACTATAACATGAGACAGCTAAACTTAGGAAAATAAGCAGACCCAAGAAATAATTGACCAAAAAAAAAAAAAAACAACCAAAAAAACAACCCAAAAAAAAAAAAAATCACAAATACCTGTGACAGTTTTTTGAAAACCATCTTGATGATTCTGAAGACATTAGTAAAAGGATTCGTTGGGCTGAGAAGATAACAGTAGAACTTGCTGGAAAGTTTCTTTTTTGTTACATCTATTATTAAGCAAAACTACACCATGCCCGCAGTCAAATTGGCCAACATTGATGTCAAGTGGTCATTACCAGTTATTGCTCATAGTCTATGTTTTTATCACCAGCATTTATTTTTTCTGGGGGATATTTTTTTTTTTTACATTTAACTGTTTATTAGTATTTTTCACATTTGTTTACATACACAATGTATATGAACACTGCACACCTTTGCTTGGGAGCTATTCCTCTATATCTCCTTTGTCCCATCTAATCAATCTATCAATCTAATCAATCAATTTCTTTAGTGCCAACTATAATTTGCATTGTATTTGAGATTTCAGTTTCACTATAAACTTTTCATCACAGAAGGAAAAAAATGAAGGAAAAAAAATGAGGGAAAAAAATTAAGCATTTTTCACAATTTATGATACAGGAGCCACATGAAAGTCAGTCTGACATTTGAGCATCAGTTGTGTGTGTATGATGAGTGTGTTCAATTTGTCCATGAACGCTGTCCAAAGGCCATTTTCCTTGATAAGTTGGAAGTTTATCAACCTGTACTAAAGCTCTGAACGCATTCATAGGTTTTCACGGGTAGGGGAGTTGGAGGGGAGCCGGAAGTTCTGGGCCCTTCCGCTATAACATCCAGGGGAGATTTGATAAAGTCCAAAATAAAATTACCCACTCATGCCTTAGATTTATCTATCGAGTTCCAATTTTTTTGTGGGCATTTTTTCCCAGCTCTGGACAGCTAGCTCAGTATGCTCCTATTCCCTCTGCCATCTTGTCCAAAAGTCGGGGGATTACTTTTTTTCGTTTCCACTGAGTCAGAATAGTTATGTTATTCCGCTGAAATAATAATCAGACTTGGATTTCAATTTTGATTTTTCCCTGGTAATCCTTAATATTATATAAGGTAAAAAGGACATTTTAAATAATGAGACATTTGCACCTGAATATATTTTCTGATACTCTATCCTTTTTTTTATATTGCATTTAGAAATAAAATACAATCTTGAGGTGGATGCTGAACGCAAGAAGAATAATCTTGAGCCCAGAGGGAAATTCACTGTGACTCCAGACCCAGAAAATACACACAAGTCTATTGGTATCCTTACCATGAAAGCAAAAGGAAAGCAGCAATGTGTTACAGAGAAACTTATGATAGAGGTATATATCTATATGTCCTTTGTAAATTTTGCTTTTTGACCAAAAAATGCATTGTGGGATAGGACAGTTACTGATATTTCTCTTACAGGAAGGGATAAAGGACAAGCTACTTGCGATCCCCATTGATGTTTTAGTCAACATTGATGGGAATGCTAACCGTAAACGTAGACAGACCCAAGCCTCTCAACTTACTCCTATTCTAGATGCTAAGGATGTGAAAACAACTCGAACAGAGGTGTGTTTGCAAGCTACCCATTGTCTGTCTGTCTGTCTGTCTGTCTGTCTGTCTGTCTGTCTGTCTGTCTGTCTGTCTGTCTGTCTGTCTGTCTGTCTGTCTGTCTGTCTGTCTGTCTGTCTGTCTATCTATCTATCTATCTAAATAAAACATTTTTTTATTAACATGTTTGCAGGTGGAATTTTTGAAAGAAGGATGTGGCAACGATGGTGTATGTAATAGTAACCTGAAGCTGGAATATCGCTATGGCTACACTACTCTTGATGAGGATATATTTACACCTGTAAATATGTAAGATAATCTGTATTTCTAACTAATTCTGAAGGTACTAAACATCACATGTTCATGGACATATAATTCCAACTTAAAATTCATTTTGTTTGAAGGGATAAGGGGGTGCCAACGATCTCATTAAGCACTTCAAAAAGTGTTGCTTTGGAAGTGACGGTGACCAATAAAGATGGAGAGGATGCATATGAAGCTTTTGTAATTGGTTATTTCCCAAGAGCCATGACTTACTCTGTATACCGAGCTCCAATAAATGTAAGTTTATTTAACTGAATTTCTGTATCCTATACACATACTATGAGGTCATAAATAACAAGGTGCAATTCATTGCAACAGTCCCAAGTCCGCTGTGAGGGAAACACGAATGGATCTAAGGCTGATTGTGAGGTTGGGAACCCTTTTAAGCGTAATACAAAGGTAAGAAAATAACTTATAGCATTTTCTTTTTTTGCTTTTTGTATATTTATTGGCAATAGATGAAATACTTTGCTTGGTGTGTTTTCAGACAACCTTCTACATTATTTTGGGTACTACTGACCAGTTCTATAACACTACTGAATTTAACATTGAACTGCATTTAAAAACGTAAGCATCAGTTTAACAATCTGAAAACACTTTCATAGCTGTTAGCTAACTTCATTTTACATAAAGCTTGTTAACTATTCATCAGGATGAGTGAGCAGCCCGATCTCATGTCTGTGAACGCAAAGGCAAAGGTGGCCATCGAGCTGCAGCTGTCCTTATCAGGGTATAAAAGTTTCACATTAAAGAAACATTTATTAGAATAATTCAGCCAACTGACCACATATTGCTTTCTTTACAGGCAAATTGAACCATCTCAAGTCTCCTTTAGTGAAGAGCCCAAAGAAGTAACAGACTCAAAGACCGAAAGCGACATTGGCAGCGCCATCACCTATCGGTTCACTGTAAGTATATGAAAGCTATGTTCTCTGTTGCACAGTGTACTTTTCTCTTTAGAATATTAATACCAGTAAAGGCAGGAGAGCAAAATACAGGACCTTGATATTATTTACAAGTTTATCGATAGTACATGATGTGCAGATTATTCATGTCAGGTAAAGGTTGAATGCAGAATATTGTATTCTTCTTTATTTCAGAGAAATTTTGTCAACAGGATTGTGATAAAAGAAAACACAAATGTTTGGATCCTTTCGGATTGTCCAATAATCAGGGGAGTCACTAGGACTTGCTCTCAGAATTGGCAAAGTTTTTATGCCAACAGGGACCCAAGATTGGATCTCTCACATTAAAATACAGGTGCTGGTCATAAAATTAGAATATCATGAAAAAGTAGATTGATTTCAGTAATTCCATTTAAAAAGTGAAACTTGTATATTATATTCATACATTACATACAAACTCATATATTTCAGATGTTTATTTTGTTTAATTTTGATGATTACAAATGACAACAAATGAAAATCTCAAATTCATCATATCAGAAAATTAGAATATTACTGAAGACCAATAAAAACAAAGGATTTATAGAAATGTTGGCCAACTGAAAAGTATGAACATGAAAAGTATGAGCATGTACAGCACTCAGTATTTAGTTGGGCCTCCTTTGGCCTGTATTACTGCAGCAATGCGGCGTGGCATGGAGTCGATCAGTCTGTGGCACTGCTCAGGTGTTATGATAGCCCAGGTTGCTCTAATAGTGGCTTTTAGCTCTTCTGAATTGTTGGGTCTGGTGTATTGCATCTTCTTCTTCACAATACCCCATAGATTTTCTATGGGGTTAAGGTCAGGAGAGTTTGCTGGCCAATTAAGAACAGGGATACCATGGTCCTTCAACTAGGTACTGGTAGCTTTGGCACTGTGTGCAGGTGCCAAGTCCTGTTGGGAAATGAAATCTGCATCTCCAAAAAGTTGGTCAGCTGCAGGAAGCATGAAGTGCTCTAAAACTTCCTGGTATGTGGCTGCGTTGACCCTGGACCTCAGAAAACACAATGGACCAACACCAGCAGATGACATGGCACCCCAAACCATCACTGACTGTGGAAACTTTACACTGGACTTCAAGCAACGTGGATGAAGTGCCTCTCTTCTTTTCCTCCAGACTCTGGGACCTTGATTTCCAAAGGAAATGCAAAATTTACTTTCATCAGAGAACATGACTTTGGACCACTCACCAGCAGTCCAGTCCTGTTTCTCTTTAGCCCAGGCAAGACGCTTCTGACGCTGTCTGTGGTTCAAGAGTGGCTTGACACAAGGAATGCGACAGCAGAAACCCATGTCTTTCATACGTCTGTGTGTGGTGGTTCTTGAAGCACTCACTCCAGCTGCAGTCCACTCTTTGTGAATCTCCCCCACATTTTTGAATGGGTTTTGTTTCACAATCCTCTCCAGGGTGCGGTTATCTCTCTTGCTTGTACACTTTTTTCGACCACATCTTTTCCTTCCCTTCGCCTCTCCATTAATGTGCTTGGACACTGAGCTCTGTGAACAGCCAGCCTCTTTAGCGATGACCTTTTGTGTCTTGCCCTCCTTGTGCAAGGTGTCGATGGTCGTCTTTTGGACAACTGTCAAGTCAGCAGTCTTCCCCATGATTGTGTAGCCTATAGAACTAGACTGAAAGACCATTTAAAGGCTTTTGCAGGTGGTTTGAGTTAATTAGCTGATTAGAGTGTGGCACCAGGGGCCATCAATTTTGAACCTTTTCACAATATTCTAATTTTCTGATATGATGAATTTGAGATTTTCATTTGTTGTCATTTGTAATCATCAAAATTAAACAAAATAAACATCTGAAATATATGAGTTTGTATGTAATGTATGAATATAATATACAAGTTTCACTTTTTAAATGGAATTACTGAAATCAATCTACTTTTTCATGATATTCTAATTTTATGACCAGCACCTGTAAAAGAAGCAAACCACCCCTTCATTAGGACTACAAAAGAAAACACAAACACGAATACAAACATGCAAACATAAGTCTTTAAACAAGATATACAGACTTGTTCCAGTGGTAACAATGTGTTACAGCTCATTTAATGTGTTACAATTCCTTACCATTGGGTTTCTTGATTTGTTTTTAAGTGGTATATACATGTATACATATAACTCCTTAGTAAGACAGTTTAAGTTTGAACAAAAATAACTCTTGCAGCTGTCAAACTAGGGAGCCTAAGGGAGGTTCTAATGCATCGAAAGCCACTTAAAGTTAGTCCATTATGCCTTTACTGTGAATACAATACAAGTGACATGAACAGAGGTACACTATACAAAAAACAACCACCTCGTTAAAATAATCTGTTCTCATTAATTATTTTTGTACCAACATATTTTTAGCCTGTGTAATTTGCTGTACTGTCTCTGTACATAATTATCACAAAGTTCCCTTCTTAGAATACTGCTTAAGTATCTCACTTCATTCAGAACCTGGTCTGCTGAGAGAATAAAAAACATAGAATCTGATCCTCCTTAGTTAAAGCAATATTAAGTTCTAATGTGTTATCTCTAGTTTTTGGATAAGTGTTTTGAGTCTGATTTTCTCTTGACAGACCATAGGCCATTATATGTGACACCATTACTGGTAAAAGTATTCTGCCCATGAAGATGTCTTTGAGTGAACAGAGAATACACTTTAAAATAACTTCAGAACGTTCCATATGATTGTTTTTCACAACCCAGAACAAAGCAGGATCTTAATTCTAACAAAACATATGATAAACTCCAAGCCGAATAGGGCAAGCATAGATTTATTGTTGGTGAAGACTTTCTGAGATGTTAATTGTTATTGAACTTTGACATGTATTGCCAGAATGAGTAATACAGAAGATATCATACAAAAAACAACAAAATAAAAAATTAATTTCAATTATATATAAAGCAGAAAGGGGGAAAAAAACTAAGATCTATTTTCTACAAATATTCTGAAAATAAGCATACGCCACATTAGAACGACCAAAATTCACCTAATTGATGAGTACAGCTGGAGAGTACCTTTTGATTTTTTTTTTTCTGCGTTTAAAGAAAAAATGTATATTCCGGAGGTACAGAATCAAACATTTTGAATGATTATCACAAATCAAGAAGCTAACAATGACAGGATTAGGATTGTCTAAAAGTGAGAATTAAAAAAAACACTTGAGCATAAACAAGACATGACAATAACATTTATTTTTCCCCAAAAAGTGTTCAACTAACAACCATCTCTGCAATATTCTGATTACAAGTTTCCAAAAATGTTTCACCTTATTAACAAAAATATATTACCAGAGGTTACAGCCAGGCTCTCCAACAAGTGATAACTGGATAGACCCGATTAATGAAGTGTTTCAGTCCAAATAGGAAGAGATGGACTTAAAAAAAAATAGGCTGCAATTTCACAGTTTAATTACAAATCATGGCTTATATGAATAATTATTATTAATTCAGAGATTTAAGCTCATCACAGAGAAAATAGCTTTACATTTTCTCAAAAATATTTCGATAACGGTTCGTTAAACATAGGATGTTTACGTTATTAATTGAATCTGCACTTCTTGTAGTATGCTTTATGAGGTGAATATTTAAATAAAAGCATATTGTTTCAGCATCTTCAAGGAAAAAGGTTCCTCCTTTCAGTCATGTCACTATACTTCCTTACTCTTTTTGCTGTATATTATTTAGTTTACTTTACGGTAGTTTATTTTGCTCAAAAGAATACATAAAATACACAGTGATAAGAGGTTAAAAGATACATATAGTTTAGGAAGAGGCAAAAAAAAAAAAAACCCAGGGTGGCTTAACTAAAACATCACCAAAAACAATTAAAACATATGCAGATTCAAAGTAATAATGTGAAATATTAATGCTAAATAATATATTGTGTCCTTAATATTAGAAAACAGACAAGAAGAGAAACATGCTGTCATTAATATTTATTGAGTATGAAATCTTAAACATGTAATGATAATCCTTCAAATGAATAAAGTCAAAAGTAAAGGATGGAGATTATTTATTTGGAGTCTTCTTATTTTTAATTCTATGTTATTCCAAAAGGCTTTAAAAAAAAGTATAAGATGCTTAAGTGATAACACAGCAGATATGTATAAAAGTGATAAAGTTGTGAAATTATACATCTATCGACTGTATACTGCAGTATTTCTTCCAGATTGCCTGTGGGATCACACATTGTACTCTGGGCAGATAATGTGTTTAGAATTATGCCTGTTGCTGAAAGCAAAGAAATCTCAGGAAAGCCATATTATAAATGGAGCGGCAGCTGTAAATTTAAACAAAAGAATAATCAAAAGTGAAAGAGAAAAGTTACTAAGATGAGAAAAATGAGTAGAAAAAAAACAATCTAGAAATGCATAAACAGACTACTGATTTCGAAATCACCATTATAAAAAGGTTTGGTCTTATTACGAGATATAAACTGATGTTTCCGTAAAACAGATTATCAACCGAGGAAAACGACTGAAAGACATTGGAACTGCAACCCTTCAAATAAATTGGCCTAAGATGACAGAGGAAAACAATGATCTTCTCTACCTGATGGAAATCAGCTCCAATGAACTAAAGCAGATAAAGTGCACTCCCACTGGAGAGATCAACCCTCTTAAAAAGGTGAGTACAAAGGCTTGTGAAATGTTTTGTTAAAAAATAATTAAATAATGTGATTAGGGAAGACTTTTCTGTTCTGATGCAGATTTTTTTTTTATCGAATTGATTCGGTTCTTTAATAAATACCATGGAGTGTTCTGAAGATGTATGGTATCAGAGCACTTCAGGCTTAAAGGCAAATGATCGATTTTTTTGTTGTATCCACCAAATCCGGTTGTTTTTTGGCACACCTGGGTGAATGAAGGAGAAATTAATCCAGAAGACGATCACTTGATAAAAAAATTATATCAAACTGAGGAATTATTGTTGAGCAAGTGTCTCTAATGGGGATCCCTGTGTGTGAAATGCACACACAGGGATTGCATATGCGAGATGTATCTGGATGAGCCGTAGGTTTAGTTCTCTCAGTGTCAGCAGGCAGACAATGTGATCACAGGTCACCTTAATGGAGCCAACATGAAGTAAAGCTACTAGTCTTCTACATCAAAAGACATCAGATAAGCTGGTTTGAGGGTCCGATCAGGTCAGGTATCACTAGAAGTGTTTTAGCCACCATATTGGAAGAAGTCTACAGGGATGAGCCAGATTTAACTACCATCAGTATTTTTCTTGCTTGGGAATTTATTTTAAAAGAGCTAGACAATTCAGAGGACTAGACTTTGCACTGCTCCCTTAGGCCTCCAGATCACTATAATTTGTAGATCAAATAAAAAAGTGAAAATAGATGGTACTCAGCTTCCTACTCATCTGTTCTTAACTGCCAAGAGATTGAAAAATAATTTGTGCTTTACACAAGGATTTATTTTCTGCCTTTAGTGTAAATAAATTCTTTTTTTCCCCTTCTTATTTAAGAAACCAGATAACAGAAACAGAAGGGCCACTAATGAAGGAGGTTATGGGACCCTGTCACGCCTGATTGGAAACAACAAGAAAATCAAGACACTGGTAATACACCAAAAACTGTTTCTTTTCCTCCGACTTTAAATACTTTACCTACAGAGTAGTAACAAAATGCTCTGTTTGTTTACAGTCATGCGACGCTGGAACAAAATGCGTGACACTGAAGTGCCCCCTCTTGGGGCTGGACTATAAGGCAACCATCACTCTGAAATCTCGTCTTTGGAATACCACTTTTATAAAGGTATCTACTAGAAATTATTAGTTTTTATTTCCTCTGCTTTTAGATAATGATTTGAGCTCAGATTTTGTTTTGATTTCTCATTATACTAATATAAAATTTACTTACTGATTGAAATGATGGAATCAAATTTCATTTGAAAATGAATTTGAATTTGTTAAAAGTTTAAACAAGCATCTATTTTACATCCGTTATCCACATAAAGAAAATCAACCTTAACCTTTTCATCTCCCTTATTTTAAAAGGAGTTTTCAGATGCAAATTATGTGGAAGTGCTGGTGATGGCTTCTCTACATGTTGACAGTACGAAGATCACAATGCAAAAAGATCCAGAAACTCAGGTAACAACACATTAAGAAAAAAATCATTTGAGACATGGCTAAACCCAAAACAGAAACATGAATCAGGAGAAAAATATTTATATATAATTTGACTCATTCTGGCCTTATAATATCTAAAATGTTAAACTATTAAAAAATTATTGGGCGGGGGAAGAAATAGAATACATGGCTTTAATTATGTTTTACAAACACAAACCAGCAACCATCGATAAAAAAAAGAATTACCTGATAACAGCGAGTTTCTGTACAGTGAGACTCATCCTCCTTTACCCTATCGCCTCTGAAGAGGCAACTGGTAATTGGTCCATCTGTGTTTAATCTGATCTCAGTGCAGTGGTGTCCAAGCCTTTTTGCTAAGTAGAATAAATTATAATCTTGGAAGTACACATTTCTTACATCTTTTGGACAAATTCTGTTCTATTTTGTTGGGCCAGAAAAATGTCATGGTCTATTTTCAATTATAAGAATGGAATATAGATCAGCCTTTGTTCGAAAACACTTGCCAGGTTTAAAACAACAACTATATCCCAGTTTGCTTTTATATAACATTTGCAAGATGTAAAAGGTTTAAAAGATAAATTAATTAAAGATAAAACACAAATAATAGTTACTAACCTTTTTGAATTTGATATTTTAATTGGGCATTAAAACTCATGTCCCAAATAAAAAAAAGTATCTGCCACCTATGCTTGTGGACTGGTGGTCTGGGCCAAACAAAATCATTTAAGGCACACAGGACTCCCTTTGAACCTCACTGGGTCAGATCTTTCAATGCAAAGGAAGAAACACTAGTCAGATTAGGATTAAAGTTTAGGGAAGTCCTAAATAGTAAAAGGTCATAACATAATTTAAACATCTATGATAATCTTGTCTGTGTTCCTGAAAGATGAAGAAGAGTGAGGAACAGCTACAAATGCTCCATGAAAAAATAATTGTTCCATGCCTGCTGCCCACCATACCCAACATTCATGGTGTGAACAACATTAGTCAGATCAAAACGAGGAAGCGCATTATAATTTTGACATGAATGAGCAACAAAGTCCTTCAGGTCAGGTAGGAAAGTCTGTTAGGTGAACAACTTTTACTGGTGTACTCCACACACTGGTGAGTGGCAAGAAGACAATCATGAAAAGAACTGTTAGCAGTGTGCCACAAGCGATATTGGTGGACAGCAATAATCTGGATGGAATTTCTGTGGAAAGATTAGATGTTTTTGGTCAACGTGCAAAAAACAGGACAGAAAAATAACTGCGTCACCATGAGGAAGCAGTGGTTGTGGATGGTTTTCAGAGTTGATGTTGAAATTGAGGAAGGATAAAGGCTGCAAAAATCCAGATGTCGAATTTTGAATTATGGAATTTTGTTAACATGGAATTTAAGATTAGCTTAGAAAGAAAAACGTAAAAGAAAAAAAATATTTGGCAATTTGATCAAAAATTACTTTTGAAGGGATTCTGATGTTTTACCTTTTTGCTAATGATTTCCAGGTGAGGCTGATGGTATTCCCAGAGAGACGTACAGCTCAGTTTGGCTCGGGAGTAGCATGGTGGATCATCCTGCTGTCAATCCTGCTCCTCCTGCTGTTGCTGGCCCTGTTGGCTTTCCTTCTTTGGAAGGTATGAACAAAGACTCAGTGTATTCCATCAATTCAAAACAAGGACATTATTGGTACAATCGGCACATTCAGTTGACTGCAGGCATTAAAAAAAACAAGCTGTTTTTTACACAATTACATGCAATGAATTACCTCTTTTCAGTGTGGACTCTTTGAGAAGAAAAAGGATGGTCCATCAGACAAAGAGAAGCTGACAACAAATGCATAAAAGGTAAGAGGGGGAAATCCCAGTACCTTTCTTCTTGGTATATTTATGCTACTTTCATTTTTTTCAAGCAATGGGAATTTCTTACTTGATTTCAGGTAAGAAAAAGCAGAGGTTAATTTCCTACACGATATTTCAAAATTATCATTGTCATTGTTTTGGCTTACAGTGAAAATTTAACAGTCATAAATCATCACATAAAATGGTAAACTTTACAGAAATCGCAGCCTACTGATAAAAATGTCCCTGTATAGCATCATATTTACATTCAGTGGCATTGATGCTTTAGCTATTGTGGCCTGGCCTCATGTCCTGCTGGAAAATAACATTTACAGGTACAAACATTTACACCCTTGAGAGGATTTCTTTAGAATCCTCTCAAGCCTGCATCTATGTTACTAGTGGACATTTTTTTCATCCATTCAATGTTGAAGTTATTACTCTGGGGGGCAGCACTGCAAAATAACTGCTGATTTTACACTGATTGTTCCATGCCATCTCTTATCTGTTGCAAATTGTGCTATGCAGCGATGCATGCTGCAATGCATGCTTTTAGGATTCATTGACACAATTAAACAGCCTTACCTCTGATTTTAAAATGTCCTTTTTGTCTATTTTTTCTTATCTGGAGATTAGAAAATTTGTTCCGTCCTCCATCAATAAGACTCCAAATCGCTTTCTCTGAGGGATGAAGGTGAAGGGCTCACAGTCATGGAATTAAACACATTCACTGGACTGGTTTCTGTTTGTGACAAAGAAAAAAATGCAGAGATAGCAGTTTATGAACTCAGTCTATAGCAACGAACTCTTCGGACTAACCCCTCTTATAGAGGATGTCTATCTATTTACCTGTATTTTATTGTTGTGAAACTGTTACTGAGCTACATTGATATTCGAGGCATTTGTAGAAAGACAAAGGCTATAAAATTAAAATAAAATAGCAATCTTGATAGTTGAGATAGTCTTTCCCATTGTTGTGCATGCCATAACATTGCTCTCTTATCCTGTGCTTTAATTTTCTGGCGTCAAATTTTAAGAATGGAGAATTGAGCTAAATTTTAGAGTTTGTGTTTCCTTTTTAATTAATCAAATTCATACTTTGTGAAATTCTAATGGATTTTGTAATGCATGTTTTAATGTCTACCAAGAAAAATCTTTCAAACCATTTCCAATTACATTTCATACGTTTCATATTTCTTTTGCTTTATATTACCTTGAAAGGAAATGGAAGGTATTGAGTGGTATACCTCTTACTGTGAATATCACAATTACACTTGTTTTAGTTGCAACTTACAAATGAAAAATCTTTTCCTTTCTTCACAGTGGGTCAAAGATGGCATTGTGCTTTACTCCCATTGATGTCAAACAAAGGCATATTTTCACTTACACAACTAGATTGGATGAAACAAAAACCTTGGGAGGGGGGGAAAAGCTGTGGATGGCATCACATGACAAGAACCCTACGAGATAAAAATAAAGGTGTTACTTGGATCACCAGATATTTTTATTTTGCACACAGAGTTGAAGATGAAACATTTTTGGAAAATGTATCAAGGAAAAAATTTAAAAAAGTAATTTTTTTTTTTTAAATGTAACTGTTCCCGATGAGGAGCCAGGGCAATGGGCACTTAATTAGTGCAGCCAGAACTGATTAGAGTTGGCAGCTGGAAACAGTTTTTTTCAAGAATGTCTTATTCTTACAAAGAATGCTTTAATCCTTGATCTACAAAGTCAAAAAGCATGATATGTGTATGTATATATTCAAGGGTGTAGGTTTGAGTTAAACTTTGGTAGGGACACTATTCTTCAGTTTCATTGGTCCTTTGCAAAAATATGCATGCTCTTTTTTATGCTTAATGTGAGCTTCAGGGCTCATTTTGTTTAAAGAGAACAGCAGCATTTCTTGCTACATTAATACAAATCTTATAAGCACTACATGCTCTAGATGCTGTTTATCAATATTTAAAGCATAACTGGCTCTGATGAATGTGGAATTAGGACTTTTTCCACTTTGAAAAGGATTGCATTTAAATTTACCTGCGACTAAGACAGTGTCTGTTAAACCAAATATAGTCTATAATATGTGGATTAATCCTGTGTTTTCTTCTGAAGATATAGAATTGTGCAGAGGTAAAACCCACTCTTATTTTATTTTTTTTTATCTGATATGTTCTCTCTGGATCATGCAAAATAATACATTCAAGGGACGGCAAATAAATGTATTGTATTTACATGTTCACTGGAACTAGAAGAGGAACTGACACTGAGCATTTAAAATATTAGAAGTTGTACATCTGGGCTGTAGTTACTCTGTGTAGCTAATTTCATGTATTTTATCTATGGCTGAAACAATTAATCATATTAACAAATTATTTAAATAATCGTGAACTATGTAATTGATTAATCGTTAACTGGAATATAGGGCCACTAAAATGTGTCTTTAGCCGACAGAGCGACCCACTTAGAGCAGGATTTAGACCCACTTATACCAAGATTGTAAAAAATATGTAAACATTTTGCATTTAAGAAGTAAAAAAAAAAAGTTTTTGTCTGTCAATATTCTCCATCCAGAACTCCTCCAAAGGAAACGTTTAAACGTTTCTGTTTCACCTGGTTTCATTTCATGAAAGATCTTCTTTAAGGAGCGTTTGGCTATCTGATTAAAAGATAAAATAAAAGAAATCCTAACGTTGTTAACATTTCTCAAGTTCCACAAATCAAAAAACTCTCTCCTGCTTCTTTACAGAACTCCAGTCAGAAGCTTTCGCCTGTTTTAGCGTAGATAATATTTTTTTTAATTTGGACTAGTTTCATAGCCCAATATTAATTTATTTTAGCGTCTTTTTTTCGCGCTCCAAGCACCCGCGCGCGCGCACATACAGACTAGAAAACACGCAATCAGAAAGAGAGAAGGCGAAACTTAAGGCAGAATAATCAGAGAGTTAAACCGCGCAGCACAGTTGATGCGCTGCTGAAAGGGACAGGAAAGAGCAGGCAGCTGCAGCTACCAGGCAGAGAAGCTGCGAGAGGAAAAGAAGCGGCTGCTGTATAGCAAATCATAAATATGTTGTTCACATCCAATTATTGGTAGGGACAAATAGGTCCTCCAAAATTTTGGTAGGGACATGTCCCTATGGTCCCTATGCAAACCTACGCCCATGTATATATTAGTAGGAACAGAAAATGCAAAGTTCAAATGTGTATATTTTCCCATCTTGGGATCACCCAATTATATTTGGCACATCAATGCAAATAGCATTTTTCTTCATGCCACAACTTTTTATTTTTAGGCCTCTGACTATGTATAGTAAATGTGTTGCCATACATTAAAGCTTTGTTCTAATGCACAGATCAAATGTGTTAGTATAACGTATTGAACTATTTCAAATAAAGTTATATTTTCTTGTGTTCTTATTTTGTGTTTTGTTGAATGAGAATTTAAAACAATGATTGAGTTTAAAGCATTATTTATTAAACAGAAAACATTTACAGCAAATTTCTGTGTGCAGAAATCATCATACAATAAAAACAAGAAAATCATTCCAAGAATAAATTAAGATTAAAAAAACAAAAACATCAATACAAGACAAGTGACCCTTTCCAGTTAAAAACATTTAATTTCTGTTTGAATCATGATGCTGAAATCCACAACTGCTGTTTAGAGATTCAAATTTAACCCTTCCCTTGATCATGCATCTTAAAAGACGTGTAAAGCATTTCTATGAGCACAAAAATAACAGATCTTAAAAAAAAAAAAAATGCTGGTGCTGCATGTGGTTTTTACCTCCTTCAAAGCAGGGATTCTGTTCTAACAGTTTTGCCCCACCCTTCTGAATTATTTACAGCTTTGTCACTCAGCTTCCTTGCCCTCCCTTTGCTTTCACCTTCCTTTAGCTTCTTTTCTTCCTTCTTCTGATCCCTCTCCTCTCTTCTCATTTCCTTTAGTTTCCTCTTGAGAACAGAGCGGTCATTTTGACTTAATACACCAAGGGCCTATAAATGAAAAAGGAGGATTTAATACTTGGTTTATAAGCATAAGAAGAAATCAGTGGACTTGCAGCAAGTAAACATTTGGAAAGAACTAAATAAAAGAAAATCTTAAAACAATGCAATTATCGCAGAAACCCAGTTCAAGGCAGCAAAAGACTAAAGTGGAGGTTCATCTTTCTGTAGGACCTAAAATATATACTACCAGACATACAGAGGATTAATTTAGGTTAAAGCCTATCCATATCAGACTAGTCAAAATCCAGCTGGAAACAAAAAAACAAAAAAACCTTTAGTTCAATAATGCTCTCCATCCAGTGTGTGAGCTGTTAGTTAAATGGGCAAAAATAAGTCAGACGGTGCAAGACGGGTAGAGAACTACCCCCATGTTGAAGCAAAGGTTGGTTCTGCAAAGTAGTGATTTGCAGAGGCTTTTTAAAAATGCATTTCACCACTTTGAAAAAAAAAAGAAAAAAAAAGAACCAACAATCTGACAAAGCTATGCATCCTTTTACTTACATCCTATACACCACCTCAAGTTCTATTCCATAGGTCTAATAAAATATATTGAGCTTTGCAGTTACAAAACTACATTTATTTGAAAAGGTATAAATGTAAAGAAAAAAAAGTACACTTTAACGTTACAGACATTTAAATTTAATTTCAGAAGTAAAAAGTGGGCTTTAGCATTTTTCCTCACCTTGAGTTTCTGACCGTCCATATTTAGCAATTGCATTCCATCCACTCCCTTGGCAGTGAACTCTGAGGTGTACCGCTCCATGTCCAAACTGAGTAACCACAGACACACCTGTTGGTTGTTCCACTCTGAGGTGGGCTGGCCCTGCCAATGATTGTTGTTGTTGTTGGGAATTGGATATTCGTCTAAAGTCTGACGGGAGACAAGAGAAGCACAGAAGAAAAAGGAAACTAATTAAAGAAGAAGACATTTGGGAAAACTGTCTAGACCGGGTGCTCCATGGAGAGAGAAGAAAGCTAAAAGAAAAGGAGGTAGAGGACAGTCTTACCTCAGAGGAGGAAAAGATGTAAGTGTGAGACTGTCCAGAAAGGGAGTGATCAGAGACATGGCCCACCATGCTGGAGCTGCCCATTGGGGAGCCAATGCTCTAGAAACAGAAGAAAGAATTCTAGACTACCTACATACTTTACAGCTAATGCATGCTTACCCATGCATGTGTATTTTTTTTTTAGAGTAAAACTGTTTAACAAGATGTGCCCACCAGAATTGAAAAACAGAAAGAGGAATTTGGGAGCATAGTCTGCTTAGAATCAGGGAACCCCACCATAAAAAGGGTGCTGGATGCTCCTTACCTGATCTCTTCTGCCTGTGGTGGTGAGATAGGGCAAACTGCTGCTGGACACGGACCGCAACCTTTCCCTGCTTTCTTCCTCCCCTTCCTTTTCTTTCCCTCTATCCCCAAACCAGGGAAGGTGCAGGCAAGAGGGCATCGAAGTCACCGAAACAGATGGGGACACAAGTGTCGGCTCATCGATTAAATCACCACATGATCCCCTGGAGACAGACAGTCAATTTTTATCACTGCAACCATCTCATGAAATTCTAACTTTACAGGAAAAAAATTGTTCACAGGTAATGTTTGGCATAATTTTACCCCCAAAACAAAAACTTTAACACTGCCATTTGAGGATTTATATGAAGTTCTACTATGGCTGTAGCAATATAATGTGAAAAAAGAAAAAAAAAAATTATTCTAAATTACTTTTGCATCAATTGCTTTTATCTCAACAGTCAGCAGAAACAAGAGCCAAATGAGTTTCATACACATCCAATATGTATGAAATTGTAAGATGTACGAAATCCTGAAAATACCTTTAAAAAAAGTGAAATCACTTCAGAACAGGCAGCCTATCATAGTACATTATAACCCAATTATCATTTTCAATATTTTTTTCCCTGCATTCAGTAATTTTGGGATTAAATTAGATTTTCACACCTGCTATCGGTCGATCTCCTGCTGCGTTTTTCACTCGTCTTTCTACCGAGAGACTTCCGAAGGCCACTAAAAAAAAACATACCAAAAAACAAGAATTGCAGAGCTTAAACAAACTATGGAGAAATGTTTGGGGGAAAAAAAACAATCTACCTGAAGTCTGGAAATATCTTTTTGGTTTTTCTGGATGTTGAAGATTTAGATGGAGAGGGTGTGACCACATCAGTGACGTAGATGGAAGGAGTTGGTAAGAGGGAGGTGCTGGTAGGCTGTAGACTAAGTGCTGGGGAAGTGGAGGTATTAGACAGTTCACTTCTGTTGCTTTCGACTGCAATGGCAGTGAGAAGAGGCTGACTCTCCTTTGGTGTGAGGGAAACTTCCTCCTGCTATAACAGAAAACAGGGCAATCATTTGGAATAAGTATGGTTCAACTGGGAAAAAAATAAAAATAAACAATCACCCTTTTTGTTCTGACTTACCTGTTTTTTGAAGCTCTCTCTGAGTTTCTCCCTAGACGGAGGGTTGCGCTTTGATTTCTGGGCAAGCTGAGCTCTGGCTATTTGAGCACTGGAGTCAAGGCGTCCAGTATTAGGAACTGGAAGATACCAATCTGAGAAAATAGACAGTTGAATGCTAGGGAAGTGTGATTTTCTAAGATGCAACCATATTTTTATTCTAGGAAAAAAAAAAAAAAAGTATGCTACAGGTAGTTTAACCAAAATGACATGTTTTCAGATTGTCCACGTGTGTGCCTTCTATCACTTGTCTGATTTTAATAAGTGAAAACTGAATGAATATGAATAGGTTTGGTTAATATGTTTAAAGAGGGAAAATTAAATATTAATTTTGACACGTTCTTTCATGCATCACCATACAAATGGGATCAGGGGAAAAAAAATCTATTTTACCATTAGGAGCAGGAGCAATTAGACCACTATATTAGCCACTTCGTATTGGAGTCAGAGTAAGAATAAAAAAAAAATATATAAAATAGAGCAAGAAATTGTTCTCCCCTCTTCCTCACTAAATCTGTAAAGTTGAAATGTCATTGAATTACATCAAAATGTTGAGAATAAAGAAGTGTAGCAAATAAAGTCATAATGTCAAATAAAGTTGAAATATAATACTGAGAATAACTTCAAACTGTCAAAAAAAAAAGTTGGAGACTGTTTTAAGAATAAGTTGATAACCTTAGTGGACGTATACATAAACAACCATCTGCTTAACTGTGCGCTGTTGGCTGCCATTTTTAAGCTGGAGATTAAACTTCTTATTGATGGTTCCATCTTATTCTCAACATTTCACCTTTGCTGACTTGGTGTGATCAAGTCACTCTGGCCCTACTTTTCTTTCATAACTTTGCCATATTTTGGATCCATTTTTTAGAATCATCTAGTAGCCACAAAATCAGTGAAACATGAGGAAGAGGTCAATTTGTAACCTATGCTGATGCTTACCTGTAACTGAAGAGTCTGCAGTATGGTTGCTTTTCTCCATTTCAAAATCTTTACCTTCAAGCTTTGCCATCTGATAAACAGGATAAAATAATGATGAAACAGAAGCCATGTGGGGAATAAATCCACAATTAGGAAATCTCGCTTTACCTTGATTTGTAGCCTTTCTACCATTTCCTTGTAATGCTTTTCTCTTTCTTCCATTTCATTCCTCAGATCTGCAAGTTTTCTATCCATCTCATCCTCTCTGAGTGGAGAATTAAGATGTTTTTAATGGTTACTTTAATACCCCAACAGAGAAACTCATTTAAGGTAGTTTATACAGTAGGAAAGATTAAAGGTATAGTAGAGGGTGTTCTTTTTCTGAGTGGATCATCAAAATAAGTGGTCCTCCTAATTGTCAATCATTCTGATATGTTTATGTAAGGCAGTCCTACGTGCTCGTCCCCCTTTTCAATTACCGCTGATGAGTCTGACTTAGTGGAAAAATTGCAAATCTTTTAGAAAAGTAAGCCTGTATAAGTGATGCATACAGAAACTTTTAAACAGAGCGTGCACGAGGAGAATTGGGCTCGTGCACGCTTTCACATGCGTTCATTAGGCATTCCCTCTTGGAAACGAGTACAGGATTGTGCAGGCGCATAATTTTTTATTTATTATTTTTTTTAAGTGGAGAGGGCAGGTCTTTTTAAAAGCAAAATCATGAAAATCCTCCACTATACATTTAAGACATTTCCATCATACCTGCTCTGGTAATCTCTAACCAGTTTCTTGGCTTTGCTGTACTTGACCTCCAGGCTTTCTGTTTGGCTCTGGGTATCAGCTAATCGCTGGCTCACAACTCGACATAGTGCCTGGGCCTCTTGCCAATAGCTGATAATTAAAGAAAGTCTTATTAACATGTTCTTATTTAAAAAAAGAAAACAATCCTAATGTTGACAAAGGTCTTAACACCAGATCCACCAAAGCTCCACTTTCATCCCCGTTCCACAACTTTCTTAAATTACCCCACTGGATTTAGTTTTCATAAATTGTGGTAATACTTTCAACAATAGCTCTTCAGTTATAATGCGTTTGTTTATCTATTGATGATCATCTATACCTAGACAACCAAGGGGATTATTTTTAACCCACTGAATAGGAATATAAAATACTGCTTACTTAGCAGCCGTAGCTTAGCTTGTTTGTTGCCATGGCAACCATGTTGCTGATGAGAATAAAAGCATTTCTTTAATTGGATTAAACTGAATTTCACCATAAATCCAGATTTCACCTGATTGAGAGAATGTGGCAGCTCTGATTCTATTTAGAGGTTAGAGATGTGAAAAAGAGGGAGAAGAGATTTGAAATATGAGCACATAAAATTGGGAAGACTATGCTGGATAAAAGGAAATTTAAACAGAATAAGGTCTAATTTACATCAACCTGCCTAAGGATTAAGACAAAAAGGAAATGGTCCATTTCCACAGCTAAAGCATCACTACTGCCTTTACCAATAAAATACAAGTAGAAAACTTAAATTAAAACATGAGAAATGCGGACTCTTTAGAATAAGAGTAAATAAATGATCCCTTTATGTGTAGTCACTTTAACCTTTTTGGAAATAATTAAATTACTAAAAAATATGTCCACATTAATAATTAAATTACACACATATGTTGAGCTTGTCCAAAGCTTGGAAAATTCCATAAACTAATCCAAATTTTTTATTTTTTTTGGAAAGTTGCGTTTGGTTTGGAAAACCATATTAAAATTAACTTCATAGTACAATATCTTGCGATGTTGCTCGCCACTTCCAGACTGTTAGGTGATAAAATGAGAACCTCTGGATTTAAACAGCAAGTCCAAAAGGCGTATTTCAGCAAATCTGTACCTGCTTATAATATTTGATGTTTAAAGAATGAAAGTGATAAATTACAACAGGATAAACAAAAATCTCCTTTTGCAATAGTTCCATTTGGGCTCAAAACTAAAAAGCTGACAGACATGGGGTTAGGCAGAATCAGCTGATGCTCTCACACATTTTTTTAAATTAAAATAATTTGCTTTAGTAACTACTCTACACATCAACATCCATTTCATATGCTTTCTAAAAAAAAAAAAAAAAGCCTCTATAAGGCATTTTATGCACATATGGTCACAATGGGACCCTCTGGTGGTTCTATGGGGATTGGCCCTCTTCGGTTCCAGTGTTAAGCCTGAAGTCTACACTTGGTTAATATATTTATGACAAGCCATCACTGTACCTCTCTAGTTTCTCAGCTTTCTCCTCTCCATCCTGTGCTTTTTGTTCCAACTTGGCTTTCAGGTTCTGCCAACGGGCCTGCTGCTTCTCCCATGCCTTTAACTGGCAGAACAACAGCAAAAAAAAACATATATACATATCCTCTAGTGCACATCTTTGTATTTTTGCATTAAAGATTATTCCTTCAGGAGTGCTTCAAACAGTTTCAACACATAAAAGTAGTCATATTTGACAACTGGATAGATAAAAGTTATATTTTTCCACTTGAAAAGCTTTGAAAACCCAGTTCTATGACAGCAGTGATTACATCAAGTCACAGGCTGGAAAGTGGCACTGACGTGGCGGAGAGTTGGAACAAGGCCCGTGTCCTAATAACTGGGTATGAGCCATCTCATACCTAGTTAAATGGGTCAGGCTGTTTCCAAATTTGGACACAAAGGTAGTGTATTACAATGAGTTCAGTGATCAGGTTGTGTGCAAGTCTCAAATCTCACCTACCTTCTCTTTGGCCCGACGCAATCGAGTCGTTCTGCTTCTCAATTTGGCCTGAAGCTTTAAAGATGAATGCATATGAATCAGTTTGGGGACAATGATGAAAACTTGTACCACAGTTTAAAAATATAGTAAATGGTAATAAGAATACAAGTATCAACATGCTTTTTAATGGCATTTAAAATTTGGCATTTGCAAACATAAACAAGTCACAAAAATCTCTGCTATATTATAAAAACCTATGAGCGGTGGTGAAACTCCCACTAAAGGAGAACCAAGTAAAGCTCTAATGGCTCCGACATCTAAGGATTGATCTGAAAATGACAAACCCATTTCAACCACGTTAAATCCTCAAGTTAAAAAAAAGCAGGCTGTGTGAATTGATACACACTAAACAAGAAAACCATCATTAGCAGCCAGAGACATTTCTCGGCATTTTGCATTTTCAAACAAGATGTTTGGAGAAGTTGATTGTAAAGTACTATCCATGCCGTCATAAGAGAAAATAACCTCATTAAACAAGTGTTAATATTTCTTTTAGTTAGGGCGGCAAATAACTATTCTGCTAATTGATTAATCTGTTGATTTTTTCCCCCCGATTAATAATCAGATCCTTCAAGAAGATTTTACACAGAATTTAAAGCAGTTAAAGCTAAATGTATGCTCTTTTAGGACTTCTGGAGACAGAATTTCAATGGATGAAAAAAAAGTTCATCTTCAATGCAAAACTACTACATATATATATTTTTTTATAATTTCAGTCAAATATCTCATTTGAGTGGGTTACCCTTTAAGCTAAAGACATGTTTTAGAGTCTTTATGCTCATGTTAACCATGCGATTACTACATTAGTTGACAATTATTTGAATAATCCATTACTCACTTAAAATCATTAATTTTATTCTAGCTTTCTCCTACTCCCATGATTAAGTTCCTCATGCAGGTCAAGGTGCCAATTTAGGATTTTAAGGTCAGATTGTGTGAAGAAATCACAAACCAGGAAAAATCTACTGTAATTATGGATTACTGAATACTTGAACAATGATATTTTATTTTTCACTAACATTTCATTATTTGTACCAGGTCTGCTGTACAACCATTTTGTCCTGTAAACTCAGTAGGTGATGGAGACATTACCCTCCAAAATTTATAAATAATACAATGATAACAAAAAACATCCAATTAAGAACCCATACCTGCTGGTATTTGAGACAGAGTTGGTAGTTTTCCAGACTAGACAAGACAGACACATCCTCCTCTTCATCCATCTCCCCTTCCTCATCTTCAAAGACTGAGTCTCTCTCTGATACACTGTCATCATCATCGTCTTCATCTCCACTGCTTCTGCTTTCCCTCTTCAAATCAGGTAAAGATAAACAAACGTCAAAGCAATTCCTGTTTTCTATACAAGAACTGATTTTCATCTACTAAACAAACCTTTTTTGTATTCTCCATTTCTAGACTCTCATTGATGAGTCGTGCCACCTCACTTTCCACCCCCTCTTTCTCTCGACCAATCAAAAACCTACAACAGAATCAATTAATCAGTCCCACCTAATCAGTCTTTAACACTGACCCACCTGGGCATCTTAGGACAGCCTCCAGCAGCTTAAATATGAAACAGGTGTTGCTAATGAAAGTGATGATTGATTAATAAGCTCAGAGAATGACACCAGTGTATACAACAGACCCCCTTAGGGACATCATCACACCTAAGAAAGCATATATGTGTTGCAATTAATTCTTTAAGTTTAGCCATCATAAAGTCAAAATAGACAATTGCAAATTCTAATGTGTAAATTCTATTTTTACACCCTTTTTTCCTCTACATCTCAGAGGAAAAAAAAAAGATGGGAAGTTATATTTATCTCATTGCCATTGTTTCATCTAAAAATAAATTCATCTTATAATAAACCTTTGGAAGTCTGAAAAGTCTACAGTGATACATATTTTATTATCACCAGCATTCAGGTCAAACTGTCACTCTGATTAGAAGCTCCCAAATATAATAGTAAAGAGATTTTTACTTACTTGACCAAGCCTGATGTGTTTTTAAGGACTGTAGCTGCAAACAGCTGGGAAACTCCAACCAAGCTTATGCTGTCCACTTCCACAATCTGGTCGTTGACCTGAATCCTAAAAAGCCCAAACACAAAGACCAAAAAGCCTAGAAATGCATTTTTCCCCCCCACAATTAAAATTTCAAACCAATTATCTGCAAATATACCTTCCGTCTTTGTGTGTTGCTCCTCCTTCAGTGATTGTTTTGACAAAGATTCCCAGTTTTTCCAGCCCCTGATCAGCTCCCACACCCATTCCGATGATACTGATGCCCAGACCGTCCACTCCTGCAAACAATGGTGACAAAACAACTTTATGAGGAGGCATTTAAACCTTTGCTGACTTAGACATTACCCCATGGATATCAAGCAATGAATAGGCACAAAATGGGAGGACGTGGACACAAACCCTTTTCTATTTCCACTGGAAAGACATCCATCCTCTCTACTCTCTTTTCCAGCTCAAATTCAGCTGAGGCAGACACTGGATCAATGTCCTCATTGTGACGGTCATAGACTTCATTAGAGTATGTGCTGTACACCTGAAAATACAAGAAATGTCCTGTTCAAACAAAACTGTAGAGGGCTCAGCTTCAGTTCATCAAATTCTGATTAAAAAGAAAGCACTGGTCTGCAGATATTCCTGTTTTGCACAATCATTTTAATAGATGAGCCAACTGTAAAAAGAACCATCTGCAGTTATTGACACCACAAGACACTGTTTATGCCTGAAAAATCTGTCAATGACAGTGTGAGAGGCGAGAGACTCGGGGATGTGTTACAGTGAGCATATGGTACAAGCAAAATTACAGTATTGCTAAAAATCTCCAATGTCCTGGCATGATACTGGATACTACATACTGCAAAATCTGCATCTTGAATTTACCACAGTCTCACAGACAAATCTAATGAAAATGTCAACCTTTAATTAGGTTGCAGTTAAGTGGAGAAAAACAGACATAGAAAAATAATCACTGTAAATTACTGGAAGGAATTTTGCTTTGAAATAAGCACTATTCAAGTATTTTCTTCTTATTCACACTTTCATTTGAAGGTTTCCTGGAATGTCTAATAAGTAATATCCTTTCCCTTGGGTAGAAATAAAGAATAACAAAAAAAATCAAGCCCAGTTATAAGCGAAGATGTTGACCTTCATTAGGGAATAGTCTACCATCCTCCATGAGCTTGAGCATTTCAGCCAATGAAAAAACTGAATATGATTTCCAATAATGTCAGAGCATCTTATCACACTGGTACACACAATTATACCATGATGATGAGTGTAGTTAGATATATTGTGTATCTTTATCTGGAAAGGTGACAAAGTTGACCTTTTCATGGTTAAAAAAAATACATCTCCCTTATATAATCTGCAGAAAAAATTGGAGTCTTTGGAGTTTAGAAGTTCCATGTAATACCATTAGCTTGCCAACCAGCTGTTTCAGGGAAAACTAAACTTAACATTTTGAATTTGATTAACTCCATTTGGACAGTAGAAACATTTTAGGCCACTGTGAAGTTGATTGGAGGACCTGTGATGCTCTTAGCCAGTTTCTCCTTTAAGTATCCTGGGAACCTTGTTATGAAGCATTGAATCATGGATTTTAGAGGTTTGAAGGTTCTGCAGGTTAATAGTTAAATGCTGATTATTAGTTCTTTCAAGAGGAAAAGTAAATATAGTCTAATCAAAACAGAAAAGATTTGCCAAATAAAAAAATCCAACTCCTTCCCTGGGATGCACAGTACTCTGATCTAAATCCTATAGAACACCCATGGTATGAGCGAAAGTCAAGAAAGCATAAGAGAGGCTAATGGACAAACTAGATTTACAGTACAAGAAGGAAAAGTCTAAAGAGTAACTTTGTGCAATTTCAAAATGACATACAGTTCTATGCATTTTTGTCACTAAAGGAATACACAAAATATGTTTTCAATCAGGTCTCATGGATACATTTTTTGACTTTTCTCCCATCTTTAGCAGCAGTAGCAATAGATTCCTCTGTCTGTATCTATGATTTTTATTTCATTTATCTAAAAGCAGCTTGGAGCAGCGTGCTGACAGAGCGAGGCATGTAGGCTCCTGTCTGTTCTCCTCCTCTAAAAGATTAAAAATGTAGCTTCAGGCTGAACCTCTTCTGCAATATTTTAAAGGGGATGGAGCTGACTGTTCCAAAAACGTGAAATAAACTGTTTTTAGTATCCTTTACATGTGTAAATCTACTTAAACGGGTGAGAGTGGTGTTATACTCTCTATGATAAACATACCTTGATTGGTGCTGTGGAGAACCTGACCTTCCTCTTTGCAGCCTCTAGTGGATCGTCATCCTGACAGTCCAGTTCAGGCAAACCAGGAATTTCCTCATATTCCACTACAAGCTTTTCTCCCTTCATGGAGCTTTCCTGCTCTTGTTGTGGTAATTCTGAGATCTCTGGATGGGACAGCGAGTCCTGATCATACCAAAAAGCTTTGTTCTCAATCCCACAGACTCCTTCAGATTCTGTTTGGTCCTCTTTGCCTCCTCCTCCCGCATCACCAGTACCTCTACATGTAGCGTACTTAATTATCTCAGTGACAACATTTTCTTGTAGATCAGATGTTGTGATTTCTTTCATTTCTTTTCTTTGACTGTATTTAGATTCTTCTACACCTTTCACTTTTTCCTCTCCTTCCTTATCAGAATATATCTCTTGGATCATTAACTTCTCTAATCCAGTAGCACATTCTCCAATGTCTTTTTCCATGTTATCACTTTTTTCTCTTGGCTTCTGAGTTTGTGCAGTGAAATGCCTGTGTTGCTCCTCCCTTCCACCCTCCCTTTGCTTGTTCACCTGCTGATACTTGTCTCCTCTGCTTTCCCCTCCATTCCCAGTTGTTTTCCATTGCATGTCCTCTGATAACTCTTCATGGGGTTCTGAAGAAGTGAAAAATTCAACTTCCCTCACCCTTAATCCACGAAGAGTTCCTGAGTCCACAGAGGCCTCCTCAAAGACGTCATCTACCAAGGCTTCCTGATCATCCTGAGCAGCTTTGTCCAGATGTGTTTCAGTCTCCCCTTCTGCCCAGCTTTTGTCCTCCTGCACTTTCACTTCTTCATTCTCATCACTTTCTGAAGAATCATTCTTTACATTGACTAGTTCTGCCCTTAGTGTCTCCTCAGGACCCAAACAGGCTTCTCTCTCATCTGTTGATTGTGATGCTGCAGCATCAACAGGTCCATTTAATACTGGAGATTCAGAAAGCCTCATCGGTGACTCCACTTGAGGGGGCTTTGTGTCTATGGAACCATCTTTACCTAATCCACCATCCTCTTTGACTGGAATTTTCTCACTTGCATCTGGCACCTTTTCTACATCTTTCAAATCTGCAACCCCCTTGCTCCCCCTGACGATCTGAGTTTTTAAAACCTGTGCCCCCATTCCCCCGACCTCCAACATTTTATTCTCAAACAGCCGCCGAGTCACGGTAAACTTCTGAGCCAGAGCAACTCTATCAACGTCTACTTTTTTCTCTGATCTGGACGGTTTGTCTTGTAGCAGTTTTTCTGTGGACGAAATACTTTTCAGACTTTTAACAAACGAGGGGGAGGAACTCATGATTGATTCAAGGAAAGGAGACGTCTGGAGTTGGACGCTTGGGTGTGGAGCATAAAGGAGTGGTGTGGAAACAGAACCTGTAGTTGAAGCACCATCTTGTCTTGATTGCTGGCTGTCCATTTGAAGAAAAATGTTGTCTCTTATTTTGGTCCCCCTGGTGCTTTGGATACGGCCTCGGCTGCCAGTGCTGCTGGTGGTGTTGGACAGATTGTCAGAGGGGACTGTAGCAGCAGGTTTGGTACCTCCTGGTAGTCTAACTCCAGTGTCAAATGAGCATTTGATAGCATGAAAGTCAGATTTATATATTATTCTGTGTGGGGAGGCACTTCGGCCTCTGCTGTCTGTTCGCATCATCTGCAAATCAGTCTATGTGAAGTCAGAGGAAATTGTAGAAATGTTATAAAAGAGTCTGTTTGCTGAAAATGGAAGGACCAATACACCAAATAATTAGTTATATTAAGGCATCAATCAATGTTTTTGTATAAAACTTTCTTCAAAATTGATTGGCATTTGCTCACTGGGTCTTCAGTTCACAAAACCATTTTTACACCTGGAATAGAAAAAGAAAATAGAGATTCTTTAAGGTAAACTTGCAAATAAAAAATAAAAAAACATTCATTAATCACATTAAAGAACTAATTTTGGCAAAAAAAAGCACCTACATTTGTATACACCCAGTATCTTCAATATCTTCAGACCAAGAAAAACTTACAGTTCTCTCGCAATCAACACAAACTACCAAGCAACTTAATCACTGCTAAAATTAAACTTTAAAGCTTTCAGGATTACTCAAACTCACGGCACAGGCGGAAGCTTTCCAACAAGCAGACCCGTGAATAAAACCAAACAGTGCGCTCAATTTGACACAGGTAGCGACAATTATTTCATCTGCCTACGTAAAAAGGATACGTGCGCTGTGACGCAGCGTCGCTGAAAATGTCCGACAAAGGATAGGATCTGGAATTTAAAGAGACCAATGCGTGCCTAAATCCAATAATAGTAGCCTAATGATAATTAGGAGTAAAGCTTTATTAAAAAGGGAAATAATAAAATTATCAGTTTAGACAATTTGTGCTTGATAGAAAATGTAAGTTTTACCTTTTAACAATTTAATTTGCCAATGGCCAGCTCTGGGAAGTTTAGAAATAAGACCTGATGGGTAGAGCTAAATGTTATATGATCCAACCATAAGCGCCCTACCATTCGTTTTACTGATTTGTTAGATAGGCCTATAAATTTAAACTTTGAATTTTAGGTCTACTGATAAATAAGTTAAAGAAGCAATAAAAGAAATTAATGTTTTATCCTCTTTTTGGTATTTTAAACAACCGACCTAATACTGCTCTCTCTCACTTTATGTTTGTACATGCTGTTGGTAATAAACAAGCTGGAGTCTAGGTTTCATATTCAATTTGTCAGTGTTAAAAAAGGACTAACAGATCAAATTCATCAAAAATATCATACATTATTTTAGAATTTTAATAATTACAATAGTTTTATTTTTTTCAAGGGACACATGCATAAAAACGTTTTTTCCTTCCACTATGTCATAGTTTTAGAGAATTTGGTCATGATTTGCTTGTCTGATTCTTTATTTGTTCAGGGTTCAACACTAAGTATTAAAACACGTTCTGTAAATTCACATTTATTTAATTTAAGACAGACTGCAGCTATGTGAGAATCCAAAATAAACCAGTAAGTCGTTGTTTACGCAGCTGAGCAGTACGTAAACAAGCTTCCTTCATCATATTCAATAACTGCCTCTTTAGTTTTGCTTTTAATCTAAAACGCATGAAACATACCTGCCCTAACTTTTAACAACTACAAAGATTGGCCACTTGATGTGGGTGGCTCACGCAGCAAAACATTTATTGGGCAAATTTACCACGGTCCGTGAACGCACCGAAATTCTGCCGTCTGATACGCGCGTTGTCGTGGCCACCCGCAAAGTAAATAATATGAAGAATGATGCAGTTCTTACTTTTCTCCCGTTCCTTTTTTAACATTTGTTGTCCTGTTTGTTTGAACTGGATCGGTGGTGACGGCTCCCTCGCTGAGATAAATACAGACAGATGGCGACTCATGTCTCTAAATGCTGTAAATGGATTATCCTTCTGGTAATCCTGTGTAAACTACTCCACTAACTGTGAACCACCATTGCTTTGTGGGTACCAACGCTGAGGGAACTTAGCCTGTATTTGCACTGCCACTAATAATAATTGTATTCTGCAATGCAAGTGCATTTATTGAAAAGGTATAATCATTGTGATCATTTTCATGTGTGGCATCTTAAATCATTCTGTTGCAAAAGCTGCACTCAAATCGCCATGCAAATTTAGTTATGTGCAATTATGTCAGATTTGGCAGTATATTCAGATCTATGTGTTCTAAACTTCCAAAGCAAGCAGATCACTGATAAATCCACTTACCTTTGTCTGTAGTTTTCTCCAACATATTTCCACATTTAGAGGCAAGTGTTTTCCAAATATTAACCTGTGTGTCTCATGTCTGCTCTCCCTACTACCTGTGTGTGAGCAATGTTGCAGAACCCACTGACTTGTGTTGGTGCCTACCTGAGTCTATGAGGTGGCAGTGGATGAGGCGATGAGGCAAGGCTGTCTGTGAAGTGAGATTGTGTTTGTAACAAAACCAGCTGGACCAAAACCTGCTGGAAGGGGCTGATTCACACAGAGTAGAGTGGTTCCGCTTACTGTGACCTGGATCTAACTGGAGACCGTTCTCCCATGTGGCTTTGGGACCTACTTGTTATAAATACTGTCCAATCACAAAACATTTAATCTGAATGAGGCTAACTTTTAGTGAGATGGGGGTAGTGAATTAAAGGAAAAAAATACCTTGTGGTAATGACGTTAGAGAGTTATGCTGCAAGTATCTGCCTCAAGTGTTGTACCAAGTGCAAGTGAGGCACAGCAGAATCAAGGAAGGGAGAAGGTTAACCTGGAAAATGAAGGGGAGGAGTAAACTACAGGGTAGATAGAAGCAGAGTTAATGGATCTTTGCATTTTGCATCTTAGCAAGGTGCATTTATGACACTGCAACCACAACCTTTAATGTATTTTTTCAGATGCCACAGGGAACCCTTAAACAGAAAAAAAACATGCGATACTGCAAATATTACCAAACCATTTATGCATGTTATAAAAGAGAACAGTCCATTCACTGTATTATTAATTTTCTTCTCTCAATTATTGTTGTTTTTTTGTATACGTTTTACTTTCATCAAATAGCCTATTTGCTGTATTTCTATGATAGCTTTTAAGAAACTGAAGTTTGGACTCATGCTGGCTTTGTTTTAACAATAATGATCTATCTTCCCTCACATGCCTCTAAGATCCTCATAGAACAGCCATATAATGGTTAAATTATAGACAGGAGAAATCTGTGTAATTAGGTTACTGCAGGAGGCAATTTGGTTTTACTGTTAGTACAGAGTTTAAGGATAAGGTTAATATTATTATTATATAAAAATTAAATTTTCCAGTTCTTTATGATTATGTTGAAGGTTAACAATTATTGGCTGAGTGATGAGTATTATGAAGATTATAATGTTGGCATTCTTCATTCTTAGTGTTGCAGTTCTACAGTTAAACCAACAGGGAGCGCTCACAACATTGCAGTCAATGCAGCTCATGTCCTAATAACTTTTTAACTACTTTAATTATCTTCCCTATCACTGTCACCCATAAGTGTGGAATAATTTAGCTTTATATGTTCATCTGTTACCACTGCAGTATATACTGCTATGCTTTTGAAAGAGATTAATTATTAATTGCACTGTTTTTTTTTTTCAGAAGAGAAACTATCTATTAAGACTAATTCCCATTGCCAGAGTAAATCTGTGCAAACAGGTAAAATAAAGCTTTTTAGGGAAAAATATGTGTTTGCATCTTACACAACATTAGAAATAAAAAAAAATACTATATAAAGACCAGCAACAAAGATTTTTGTTCCAATAATGTTTAGTATGTTTTTTTTTTTTTTATTGGATAGTTTGCTATATTTCATTATAGTCGTGGTGTCTGGTTGCATAGTATCCGAATCTGTGATGTTGATATAAAATACAGTTTATCTTTTAGAGGCTGTACGTATTGTGATCTGAGCAGCATATATTACCTTCTGTATGTGAAGCCAACCATATTCATAGTTTCTCACATTTGCAAAGGGGAATTGCATTTACTAACCACATGATTTCTTCAACTGAGCCTCAGCTGGGTTGAACAAACACAATGGCAGTTTTAATGAGCAACATTCAACCTTCTGCTGTTCAGCGGTGATACTGGGCATGTTGCGCATTTGTTTGAATCCGAGTTTAAGTGGCAGCTGTGTTACTTAAGTATTGATCATTTATGTAATGGCACGGCTGCTCCATGTCTAAATGTTTAACAATATTTATAACCTATACAGAATATTATTTTGTTTATCTAAAAGCCAGAATTTTATGAACTAAAACAACTATGCCTTTAATTAAGTAAGCCGAGAAAATTAGGTTTTTGCCTTCTAAACTACACAATTTTTAAGTTTGATGCAGGGGTGTAAGAAGTAATCACACTCTTTGCTTTTGTAAAACTTATATAGAACTCATTTACTTTTCTGGGTGGATCATTTAAATAAGTGGTCCAGTTAGGGAATTGTCAATCATTGTGGTGATAGGTTTACCTAAGGCCGTCCTACATGCTGGTCCCCATTTTCACTTAACGGTGGTGAGTCTGACATAGTGGAAAAATTGCAGCTTGTATGATCGATGCAAACAGCAACTTTTAAACAGAGCGTGCACGTGCAGAAATGGGCTTGTGCATGCTCTTGTATTGTTGTCATAGACGTTCCTTCTCAGGAGCGGGTACAGGGTTGTGCATGTGCATTTTTCTTTAAAAGTGGAGAGGGTGGGTCCATCCATTCATCCATCCATTTTCTGGCACGCTTAATCCCAAGTGGGGTCGCGGGGAGTGCTGGTGCCTATCTACAGCTGTCTACGGGCGAGAGACGGGGTGCACTCTGGACAGGTCGCCATTCCATCACAGGGCGAGAGGATGGGTCTTTGCCAAACCTCCTCTATACCTTCAAAGAAAAGTTACCAAAAGATAAAAAGATGACTGATTAAAATATTACAGATTACTTTTAATCAGTGTTGGTAGAGAACACAAAAAAATACTGACTCAGTTTACTTCTACTGTTATTTTAAAATAAAAAATTTTCAAAGCACAGGGCCCCCCTCAATTTTGATTGCATAAAATGTTAGAAGAGTAAGACTTTCTTACTCCAGCCAAGGTAACAGCAATATGTCTAAAGAAGGTTTGCCACCACAGAAAAGGGAAGAGAGAGTAGCAGATTGTCAAAAACTCATGCATAATAATAAAAGAAAACACTTTTCCTCACAGCAGTCAAATTTAAGTCATGCTACTATTGACTCTGGACAAGATCTTGAAAACAAACTCTGGATTGAAACATCTACATCTGTGTGGTTAGTGCAAAGGGAAACAATACAGCAATTGCAATTTACATAAAAAAAAATGTATTGTTCATTGAAGACCTTTGGAGCTTTGTATCCAGAGTATTAAAGTTGCAAACAGCATTCTGATTGAAAAAAAAACTTGGAAAAATAACCAACAGCTACCTTTAAAATCTACGAGTAGGGATTGAGAAAGTGCTGGACAGAAAGATGCCGTGGCAACTTAAAGCCAAACAACAGCATGCAAACAAACTCCTGCAAAAATGCCACTTTTTGGTGCCATTTTTTTTTTGTTATTATTTTTTATTTTTATTGTATATTACCCTAGGACCTGATATAGATTTCCATACCATAAACATGTAAATGTAAAATCAATAGTAGATCAAATCAAAAATATCAATCCTTTATGATTATTGACAATGTTG